GGACATACAGCTCGGTGTTTAAGGGCACTTAAACTCTGAGTTGGGAGAGTAAGTTTGGGTAAGACCCAATGAGCCACGTCCATAAAAATGTTTGCAGGGTGACTTAGACTGAAGATCAGGCTGGAGATAAAGGAGAGGGAGTGGAAATTACTCCCCAGCATGGTTCTCTTAGGAAGTGGCTGGATGTCTTTGGAAGGCATAAGCTTTAAGCTCCCCTTCCATCACATGAATGGTGACTGATGTCATGAGCATCTATACCAGGAATGCCCCAGGCCATGTCTTGAGTGAGCAAGGGTTACCTAAGGCATATCACATAGCTGGTCTGGTAAAGAGAGAAACTGAGATTGAGAAAAGCAAGAATTCAAGGGTTACCTTGCATATCAGTATGGCTGCAGAGAACAGCAGCTGTCAGTGGTCCAAAACCACGGGTCTGTGGTAGATTGCCTACAGAGATAACAGGCCACAACTTCTCTCAAGTCTGCATATGCGTGCTGCTTCTCCCATCAACAGGGGGAGTCTATTTCCCTACCTCTTGAAACTGGGTTGATTTTCAACCTTACACTACGCCAGCTTGTGAATGATGCAGAAGGGATGCTCTGGAATTTCCAAACTCAGGCTTTAAGAGAACTAGTAGTTTCTATTTTAACTCTTACTACTCTGAGACACCACATGAAAAAGCCCAGGCTATGCATCTGGAGAGAGAGGCTAGGTAGAGAAAAAGGCCTGGAGCATAGGAGACCACATGGAAGTCTCTCAAGAGAGTCCATGAGGAGAACCAAGGTACTCCAGCAGCCAGCCAGCACCAGGGCCATATTAGATCCTCCAGCTCAGCCCAGCCTAGCCCAGCCCAGCTCAGCCGACAGCTGAGTACAGCTGGGTTAGTCCAGCCAATCCCACGTGAAGCAGAGACAAGCTGTTCTACTCAGCCCTGCCCGAATTCCTGACCCACAGGATCATGAGCAATGAAATGATTGTTGTTTTAAGCCACTGTGCTCTGAGGTGATTTGGCACACACACAGCCATAGATAACTGAAACAATATCTGAATGGTCCTGGGGAACTCAGGCAGAATTCAAGATTGTAACCTTAACCTCTTGGATGTGCTAAGTGAGGTTTGGAAGAGGAAGATTTAGACAGAAAAGTGCCAGCCTTGTGGTCTTTCTGGTTTAAAATGAAACACCAGAATTCCCAAAGTACAGCTCTTTGGGGAGAAGACTGGCCAAAGTAAGAGTGTACAGGCTTTTGTACGGACTGTTACATGCATATGGGCCCCAACCCATTCATCTTCCCCCTTGCTGGAAAGAAGGCTTCTAATGGTCTCTGTCTTGGTCAGAACTGGGTAGGTAGCCCTACAGGCTGGATGCTGGCATGGCTAGCGGCATTATCTCAAGCAGCTGGTTCTGTTCATACAACCAACTAGTGTGCCCTCTGCCCAGCAGAAGGCAGGGAAGAACTTCAGCTCACCAACAAGACACTGAGGGAGGTTTTGTGCCAGACACTTGGTAGTCACCTTAAAGAGACAAAAAGATAAATAAGACATAGTTTCTATTTGTGAAAAGTACACCATCTTGGGTTTTACTTTTAAAATTTGTCTTCCTTTTAGAGTTGCCCTTGGTGTCAAATCGTATCAAATCTCACCTAGCTAAGCATGGCAGGGATTCAGAAATCTCTTAGGAGAGCTGTCCTAGGCCCTGCTGGCCTCTGGGACAAGAATGCAAGCTTGAGTGCATACGCTACCGCTCTGTGTGTTGGCATAAGAGCATACACTTCTTCAAGGTTTTGCAGGTAATTCTGATACCTACACATTTTATTTCCTTGTTTGTTTGTTTAATTATTTATTTTTGAGTCAGAGTCTTGTTCTGTCACTCAGGCTCGCTGCAACCTCCACCTCCCGGGTTCAAGTGATTCTTGTGCCTCAGCCTCCCATGTAGCGGGGAGTATAGGCTTGCACCACTACACCTAGCTAATTTTTGTATTTTTAGTAGAGATGGGGTTTCACCATGGTGGCCAGGCTGGTCTCAAACTCCTGACCTCAGATGATCCACCTGCCTCAAACTACACATTTTAAAATGAGCAGATGATTCATCCTCAGTGATTCGGTAGATAAGGAAATACTTAAATATTCAGCAAGAATTTACAGCATCTCAATTTTAAATGAGCCCCAAGCTGAACCGATTGTGGAAGGATAGAAAAGTCTTCTTGACATGCTTGCCTGGGCACTGTGGTATTTCCCAATTTGCTGCTGTTGTTTCTGCTATTTCTAATTGGTTTCATTATCTCCATTTTTGTGTTGAATTTCCTTGAGGTATGGAGAAGTTGAGGCAAGGGTAAACCTTTATAGCATTAATTCAAACCCTAGAAGACGGGACATTGATAAGAGAAGAAAGGAAAGGTAGAAAAAAGATGATCTACAAGCCAGTTCCTCCTGCTGCTCTTTAACTGAAACCAGGGAGAATGAACCCAAGCTTAATACAGCTGTATGCCCTGTGTTGTGTATTTGTGTGCATGATATTGTGGGTTATTGTGTGCATCGATGTTCCATTGAGAACTTAGTGGAATTCCATCCGGTTTCAACTTAACCCATCAAAGAGTGTCATAAACCAGGAGCAATTGCCTCATTTATCTTCCTGATCTAACTGCTAAGGACTTTACTCAGATTAAAAAGGGTTAAAGTTCCAAGGGAATCACTCACTCTCTTTTGTTGGGAAAAGTCCTCCTAATCTGACGTTTCCTCACATTCCAGCCATACCTCATGTGGAGGAACTAAGAGATTTCCAGGTCCGTGGTGTATGATTTAATGATTTGTGAAAGGCAAGAATGTTAACTTAGTTGATTACTCAAAACTGACTGATAAGGTATCAGACAGGTTAATTCGCTACTTTTCTAACCTCTCTCCCAGAGAACTTGAACCAAAGCCTCCTTCTCCATAGGTCATCTTTATGGCCCTCCACATGGAAGGCTAAGAATTTTTGAAGGAGACAAGCATTTTATTCCTGGGCTTTCATTTGTTCCATCATTTCATTCACTCCATCATTTCATTCCAGGGAGACAGACTTTATTTGTGATAACCTAATCATTTCCTCAACAACCAATGGTGATGTCACAGTTGAAATATTTTGACCTCAGATGGAAAAAGAACCCTGGCACATAGGCCCTGTTTACACTGAGAAAGAGGGCTTAGTGCTGAGGGTAAAGAGCAAGGCATTCTAGTTTTAATTCAAACACCAACAGTTATCAGAGTGTTATCTGGGAGACAAACTCCCGGGGATCCTGTGATCTAAAAGAGTGGCTTTTGACTTGTACCTGGTTCCTTACAGCCATCGCCTCCATAGAAATCCTACAACCCCATCTCTAGAAGGGACCCAAAGAGCATCCGTCTTTTCCTTTGCCTGCAGACATTCAGGAGATCTCTGTTTATCTTGGTCTGGGAAGCTTGTTTTATATGTATTTTTGAGAAGGTGCTTATTTTCTGAAATGAGCCAATAAAGAAATTGTTGCTTTATATGCATTTATTACAGGAAATAAGTCTAAAGTCAAAAGGTTTAAAAGTGAATTATAGGTCAGTCATGGTGGCTCATGCCTGTAATCCCAGCACTTTGGGAGGCCGAGGTGGGTGGATCACCTGAGGTCAGGAGTTTGATACCAACCTCATCTCTATTAAAAATACAAAAAATTAGCCAGGCTTAGTTGTAGGTGCCTGTAATCCCAGCTACTTGGGAGGCTGAGGCAGGAGAATCACTTGAACCCGGGAGGTGGAGGTTGCAGTGAACTGAGATCATGCCATTGCACTCCAGCCTAGATAATAAGAGGGAAACTCCGTCTCAAAAAAAAAAAAGTGAATGATAATTGAAATGGTCGCAATTGCATCCTTGAGTACTTGGCATTTAACAAACCAAAGGATGTTTTCTAATGATAAAATGACCCTGTGGGAGGAGATAAAAATTCTACAATATGATTCTATCATGTATCAGAGATTTAAAAAAAACACTACCAACAATAACATATAACATTTACAGAATTGTATACAGAAGATATACTGCTAATAATATAGACCCCCAATATGTGTCTAAACAATTCCAAATGATTTGACCTTCTTTTCCACTAAGATTTTATTGTTTTAAGAAACACAGGCACACATATGTTTAGATTGTTAGTTATACATATATTCTTTCAATTTAATTGGGTGAGAGATTTGTGGCAAGTGAATGCAGCCTTCAAATGTGGGTTGAGTGGGAAATAAAATTCCGATTTAAGGATGATCATCTAAAGCTATTATGTCATGAACGTTGTAGCAGGCACAGCAATACATAACATGATAGACCAGAGAAAGCTGGACAGAGTTTAGAAATTGTGATGGTCCTAAAAAAGGCCCTGATAATTATTTAGGATCAAGTTATAAAGCCTTCAGCAGAAACTTTGTTATTATAATTCTGTGCATTAAACAAATATCCAATTTAACTGACAACAAGAAACATGAGAATCATCAGGTAAACCCTGGATCAAATCTTTTTCACCTGATTTTCTCCAGAGTCTCAAAGCAGTCTATTTAGAGAGCACCCTCTGACAATGTATGAATAAAATACGTCCTCCTCTGGTCTCCAGGTAAAGGAGTCACTAAGGCTCCTTGCCTCAGGGTCACACATGCCAGGTCTCAAATCCCTTTGGCTTTCTAATCAGCCTTGGTTCTGCATTGGCATTCATTCCTTGTTGAAGGTGAACATGCAGAATCTATTCTACACAACATCACTAGTGACAAACGAAAAAACAAAAAAGGGCCAGCTAGAGCACCACAGTTCCAATCATCTTAACTGCATTCTACTGAAAACCACAGAACGCCTCAGTTCCAGAGTCCTCCCTATCTAAGGCAAACAGTGCTAAGTAGCACTTCATTACTTAATGATTATTGAAATGAATTCTCTCAACCCGTAGGCTTCTTTGAAATACTATTACATGTCTAGACTAAATGGACAAATATAGAACTGAATGCCACTCTTTTAACAGTGCTCTGAGGCTGGACAGAGAGGAGGGTGCTTACGTCGAAGAAGCCCAGGAAAATCCCTGCATGTGACCAGGAAGGAGAGAGGCCAGACTCTAGAGACGAACAGCCAGGGGCCAAAAGGGTAGTCAAATGTGGTGCACAGGGCATGCATCTTCAGCCAGCCTGGCAAAGGTTCAGAACGAGCTCTGTAACCTCCTGGGCATGTGACCTGCGGTGTGTACTTAACCTTTCTGATCCTCAGCTCCTCGCCTCTAAGCTTATGATAATAAGGTTGCCTTCACAGGGCTGTCATAAGGATTCAACGGCATAATGTATATGAATCATTTAGCACAGAGCCTAAGACAAACTCAATAAACAGTCGGTGTTATATCAAAAATGTTATTACCTGTGTTACTATTATTATTAAAGTAAGCTTTGAAAGCTGGCCCTGTGATAAAATACAAATATGCCCCAAAAGAGGTCCATGAAGTAAAGCAATTTGGAACTGAGGTGGCATGCAAGATGATACATTTATTTTATGAGTGATTTCTATTTATTAATTCATTCATTTCACCAATATTTATTTCTCAACAACATTATTCCAGGCACTGTTCTGGTCATGGTTTTCTTTTTTTTTAGACAGGGTCTCACTCTGTCACCCAGACTGGATCACAGTGGCACGATCTCAGTTCACCACAACCTCTGCCTCCCAGGCTCGAGGGATTCTCCTGTCTCAGCCTCCTGAGTAGCTCAGACTACAGGTTTGCACCACTACCACCTGGCTAATTTTTATATTCTTAGTAGAGACGGGATTTTTGCCATGTTGGCCAGGCTGGTCTCGAACTCCTGACCTCAAATGATCCAACCACCTTGGGCTTCGGAAGTACTGGGATTATAGGTATAAGCCACTGCGCCCAGTCAGTTCCAGTCATTTGAGAGGCAAAAACAAATGAGCCGTTAGTCCCTGACTTCAAAAGGTCCTGGTCCACAAGAGAGACAGACACACAGATAGATAATATGAGAAAATATAGGAAATAAATTAAGGTTGCTATGGTAACCTTAAGACATGGATGGCAACCCGGAAGCAAGGTGACTAAGACTGTGGGAGACATGGAAGCCTGCTTGGAGGAGGCACCCAACTGGAGTTTTGTAAGATGAATAGACATTTTCCAGACTGTACAGCAAAGAATGTCTCACTTAGAGACAGCCTCAGCAAAATTATCAAGGCATGGAAGAGCGTCACCTGTGAGGAGAATGGAAACCAGGTGAATGTGTGAGGCAGGGTGATTGTGGGAGAGGAGGCTGGAGAATTGCGGAAGAGGAGAATTAGATATTGCATGCAGCTGGTGTGGGAAAAGGAGATGGGTGGGAAACAGAGGTTAAAGATGAGGAAGCTGGTGGAACTAGTTGAACTGAGCCTGGAAGAAATGGGATGAGATGAGAGGTGATCAGGCCCAGGTGATTGGGTCTGGCCTTAAAAGGAAGGGCACATCATCATCTGAGAGGGTAGAGAAGACCGATGTCGATGAAGATAAGCTCGTAGAAGACAGAAGGTTCACCGAGGAAGGCTTCTCTAATTTTTGTGTACTAGGAGCATAGTTATTTACTGAGATGAGTGGTGTGACATGGACTGGATTAGAGTTTTGAGGAGAAGGTGAAAGTTCAGAAGGTGGCTCGAGGACCTGTGCATCTGTGAATGAATACATCGTGGAGTCGTGCATGGGCCCAGTGGAGGTTAAGACGACGCATTTGTGGTGGTACAATGGGTAATTTTTCTCTAGCCATATTCAGTTTCCCAGGTGTAGGAAAAATAAGGGCAGATGACGGTGCTCCAGATGCAATGAGAAAGAAAAATAGAAACTCAAGAAAATTGTGTTTCTAAGAAAAGAGTTGGGATGGCCATATGGAAGACCCGGGTTACATACACAAAGACAAGAGGTCAAGAGACAGTGGAGACATCAAGGATGAAGGCATTGAAAGAACAAGCATTGCCAGAGGGAGGGAGGAAGACTGGAGAGGACAGGAGGTCACGGGGTAGGATATCCGTGTTTAAGTTCTCTGATGCTCAGCAGTTCTGGCTGGTGGCCAAGTCTGGGGTGTGGTGCTTGAAGCAGTAGCTGCAGTGGAGTAAAGGTAACGCTCATTTTTATTTTTAAAAAATAAAAAGTTGTGAGAATAGGTATCGAAGAGGCAGACTGTATGCGTGTTGTAGACTGATTGAAGTGGATGGATCATGATGGTTATGAGTCAGGTGCCAGCCTCCACCAAATGACTGGGTGAACAAAATCACAATGCCAGGGACAAGAGCAAAGAGGGGGTGATGTAGGCTCAAACTTCGAAGAGGACTGAACTTTTTTACCCAAGGGTGGAAAAGTAGTTCTGGAGCCACGAAACTGCTCCTCGTCGTGTTGACATAGCACAGAGGATCTCAGACAATGGGATATAGGATTGGGACGTTTAGATGGAGAATGCAGAGAAGAGGAAGACTGGCCAGAGAGGACAGTCTAGACAGTGTGGACAAGGAAACAGTTGGGGGTGCGGAGAGTTCTCTGACACCTGGCACAGTAGGTGTGGTCCAAGTACCAGAAGCATAGGCGTGGCCTGGTAGCTTGTTAGAAATGCAGGACCCACACAGTCCTACCGAATCAAAATCAGCGTTTCAGCAAGATCCCCTGGTAATGTGTGTACCAATTAAAATTCTAGAAAACACTACTCTAAAAATAGGCAGGGTGATTACAGATGGATAAGGGAAGAGTAAATACAAATTGTTTCCATTGACCCAGCTCTCTCTGACCATGCTCACATGAGAAATTCAGCTTCCCCAAGGAATAATAGAAGGGTACTCTATTTCTCTCAGGATGTCAAAGCACCTTAGAAACATCCGTTTTAATTCTTTGCAGGCTTAATGAACTGTTTTCTGTCTCACATTCATTTATGCCAGGTGAGAGGGTGTTAGCAATCAAAAGGATTTTTACCTTGACTTCAGAGAGAGAGAGAGAGAGAGAGAGAAACAGAAAAGAACAGAGAGAGAGAGAAAACAAAAAGAAATTGCCTACGGGCACATTGCTTTTAGACAAGGAGTCAGTGGGAGAGCCAGGAGACATAGCCAGGGCCCAGCCTTCTCCACCACTGTGTGTTCTAAGCATGGGACTACACTTCCTCTTCAGCCAGTCCCTCCTGGCCAAAAAGCTGAGAGGAAATGATGCCAGGGAACCGGTAATTGTATAGCTTTTCCAGCGTACTGCTCCAGTTCCACATAACAGGACATGTCAAAACCTACTCTCCCATCTGAACACTCAGCAGTGACCAAACGGGCTGAAGGAAGCGGGAGAAATACCATGAAAAATCCTAGGCTGCACCTCGGAGACTAATAAATAATCACTAACAGAAAAGAAAACAGAGGAAAGAGAGCAAAGGGGCAGGCAGGACAGGCAGAATGGGTTCTGGCCCACGAGAGGGTTAAGTGCAAACAAAAAAATTTAACACCCCAAGAGCAGTGACCCAAAGACAGCAAAAGGAGAGTGAAGCTGGCTGGGGAGACTTTCTGTTCTCACATTTGATACTTCTGCTCACAACATGTTTCGGTGACTTGCTGAAGCTCAGAATTGAGCTGTTAAATCATTCAGCATATGAGATTTGTCCTAAGTTAAATGGATTACTTCCCTTTGTGGGTTTTTGGATAGTGGCTTATTTTAAAGGAGAGAACTGGAGGGTCTCTGCTAAAATATTGATGTGAGGGAGCAGAAATGACCGAATGGAGACACAGGGGCAGGTGCCATATTGTAATTTGTCTGCCTCTTAAATTATGTAGCATATGTATCACAATATATTGAATTTAAAACCTGAAGTATGACATTCAGTAAATAATTTATACCAGCTTTCATTAAGTGTGAGCTGAGGCTTAGGATAATGAAACCCGATTTTAGTTAGTGCCTCATTTAAATACAAATGCGGAAAAGGAAATTTCTTTAGCGCCTCTAAGACAAAGCATGCTTGCTGTGTAGAAAACTTAAACTGAATCTGTCTCTCTTCCCCTCTCTGTCACCTCTGTCATACACACACATACACACACACACTCTCTCTCACACACAACCCTACCCCAGGAGTAGTCCAGGATAAAAATGAATAATACATTAACTTTTTAAAACATGAAGTTCATTCAGGCTTCTCCTGCCTAACAATTTCTTTAAAATATGTAACTGAAGGCCGGGCGTGGTGGCTCAAGCCTGTAATCCCAGCACTTTGGGAGGCCGAGGCGGGTGGATCACGAGGTCGAGAGATCGAGACCATCCTGGTCAACATGGTGAAACCCCGTCTCTACTAAAAATACAAAAAATTAGCTGGGCATGGTGGCACACGCCTGTAATCCCAGCTACTCGAGAGGCTGAGGCAGGAGAATTGCCTGAACCCAGGAGACGGAGGTTGCGGTGAGCCGAGATAGCGCATTGCACTCCAGCCTGGGTAACAGCAGCGAAATTCCGTCTCAAAAAAAAAAAAATATATATATATATATATATATAACTGAAAAGATGATTGTTTCACTTGGTATACCATTTTTTTTCTCACAGAAGATTCTGATCCTGAGAAATATGCCTGGGATTTTGGGGATGACTGATCCATTCAATAACATCTATAAATCAGCTCCTCTAAGTCGTTCTTCTCTAGGTTCTACAGGGAACCCACAGGGAGGTAAGTTTTAGTTCCCACATTGCTTCTGATCTAGCTCAGGGAGACTATTCATGCACATTTGAAAATTGGAATAACCATGCAAAACACCCATGCCCACAGCATTACAACCAATGTGACTCTTGGCTTGCAGGATGCTGGTCCCACCAAGCTCTGTTCTATGTTTTACAGGAAGGATGAAACTTGGGACTGATATGGCCACAGATACCTGAGCTTGAAAACTTTGGTGGAAGTTAATGCCTCTTTGCTCTCCTTCATGCATTTGCTATCATAGTGCTACTTTTAATATCTTTACTTTGTGGGCTAAATAGCCGCCATGTTTGCATGCTGCTTTTAAAATTTCGTAAAACCATTAGAGAATATATTTAAAAGGAATGATTCCTCCCTCTCCTCCATTCTTTCCATATCATGTTGAGGCAATAAAGACATAAACAAAGTCAACTGACACAGTTTCCAAGAAGATTAAATAGGAAAAAGATGGCTAAGGTAAGCTACCCTGAAGTTTGGTGTACCCAGAGACATGATTTTTCACCTTGATCTTGACTGATGTAATTAATTTAGTAGGCATGTATAATAGAAAGACTATAAAAGTGTACAAAATGCTTTAGTCTTTAAAGGGCACACGAATCTCTTAGATAATTAGCCATTGGGCATGAGCCTATGCCAGGTGAGGTGTCAACTATATACAACAGTAGGGACTGAGAGACAGGAAAGACCCTTTCTGGCTGGAATAACTAAAGAAGGTTTATGGAAGAAAAGGTGTCTTGTATGGGTCTTAAAATAAGGGTAGGGTACTCTTAGGCAGGCATTGAGGGGGAAGGCGACATGCACAAAAGCATACCACTGTGAAAAGGCAAGGGATAACGGGAACATAAAGCTCGAAGATGTTGCATAAGGCACTGCAGGAAGAATGAGACTAGAAAAGTAGGTGGAACCTGATTTTCTGAAACCTTGAAGCCAGGCTGAGGAGGTGAAGGGGGACTAGTGGAGTCTTTAGAAATGGGTGAGGTAGAGAAGGACATGATTAAAATGTCACCTTCAGGAGATTGCTGCCATGTGGAGTACAGAATTTGTGGGAGTAGGGAGGAACAGTGATTAGGGAAGTCTGTTAGGAGGCTTCTGCTGTGCACTTCAAGTATTAAAGTGCATGAATTAATGGGTGATAACAGAGGCTCGCCATGTCCAGCTTCTTGCCTTTAAGTCAATTCTCAACCTACTGTTATTTGGTTTCCTCTACTGTACACATTCTGGACAGAATTTATTATCTCCCTCTCAGATCTGCTCCTCCTCTTATATTCTGTCTCACTCGTGACACCACCAGTGTCAGCCAAGCCAAATAATTTCAGGTCAATCCTGGCTCCTCTCTCTGCTGAACCCATCTTTATCCCATCAGTCTCAAGTCTTCCTTATCTAACCACATAAATGTTTCTTAAATCAGCCCCTGGTGTCAAAGCATGCTGTCTCTAGTTAGCTCATGCTATCATTGTACAATCACAGTGGTCTCTCTCATCCAGCCATAACAAAATAGTGTAGCAGTTCAACATTTGAATTTGAACCCAAACTTCCTGGGTTCAAATCCACACTCTCACACTTTTAGCTCTATAGCCGTGGACAGATTTACCTCTTTCTGCTTCCATTTCTTTATCTGTAAGATGGCAAAGCAGAGTAGGCTGTTAGGAGAGTTACATGAGCTAATTAATATTTGCCTGGCACTTAGAATGACATCTGGCATGTCATAGGTGCTATATTATGTTTTCTGTTTTAATTAATATAGGAAATAATCCACCTTCCACTCATGCATGATGTTAACCATGCCTCTCTTCCCTAACTCTGTAGGCTGGAACCTAAACTGGGTAACAGAATGTGGGAACTTTTCCGTGGCCTGGACCTTGCTTCATCTTCCCATCTTATCTCCTATGCTCGCCTCAGTTTGTGTTCAGATAATACTGTATCACATGTGGTTCTCCAAGTCCGCCACACTCAACCATGCCTTCCTGGTTCTCCTCCAAAGAGTTGGCCTGCTTGCCTTGTCCCCATCCCTCTTTCCTCAGTACTGCTTACTCATTCCTGAAATGCCAGCTCAGTCATCATTCCCCCCCCAGGCAGCCTTCCGTGAATGTGCCTCTCCTCTCTACCTACAAGATAATGTTATCATGGCACAAATAGTATAGTGCTGAAATCATCTTTATGATCCTGCTTCCAGATCTGATTGAAAACTTCTTGAGGGCAGGAGCTATGTCACATTCATCTTCAAACCCCACAGAGAAAAGGGCCATGCTAGATATATAGTAGGTTTTCACCAGCATTTATTGAACTAAAGAAAAGAATTCAACAGGGTTGGCAGTTAACTAAACGTGGAAGCAGCAAGACAGAGGGAGATTGGAAGCTGATTCCAAAGTTTGAAGTCCAAGTTAACTCAAAGATCAAGGTCATATTTATAGAAACAGGGAAGTCAGAAGGAGGAACTTTTTTGAAAAGAAAAAAACCCCACAACCCTAATGAGTTAATTTTTAAACAAACTGAGTTGGAAATGCCAACAAAACATGCAGTTAGAAAATGGACTATGTGGCACTACTAGAAAAAGGCCATGGTAGATTTGAGGGTCACTGAATTTGTCAGAGTTCAGTAGATTATGCTGCCTAACAAACAGCCCCCATATCCCAGTGGCTTATAATAGCAAAAGCCTATGGCTGCTCACACAGCATGTCTCCTGTGAGTCAGTTGCAGCTCTGCCTGGGGCTTTGTTACTCCGTTCAAGGCTACATGTGCATCTGGTGCATACTGTTCTCACAGTGAAAGGTCAGAATAAGAAGAGGCAAGGAGCCATCCAAGCAAGCACACTTAAAGTCTTGCTCAGAAGTGACATACATAATTTCCACTCACATCCTTTGGCCAAAGCAAGCCCCATAGCCAAGTCTGAGGTCAATGGAGTGAGGAGGCATGACAATGACAAGGGAATGAAATATTCTTAATATTGTACTCAGCACAGTGAGGATAGATGGAATTATGTAGATCGGATCATACACTTAATTTTCCATTGGAGGGGAAAGAAAAACCAAAGAAGGAAGAAAGAAAATAGCATAAAGGTAATTAGAGAGGTAGAGAAGAGAACTAAAACTATGAGTTAGATGCACGTTTTAAAAGACAGGAATCCAAGGGAAGGTAGGTTCATTGTCCAATACTGCAGATGTCAATGAAAATGAGAACTGCATGTGACTATGAGGAGGAGATCGGAGCCACCTAAGAGAAAGGATTCATTAGCTATCTTGAGCACATTTCTGCACAGATTTCTGGTCAAGTTATATGTGGCTAATAGAGATTTAAGATAACTTTCATTGGAGATTGTTTAGAATAGATTTTCACAGCAATGCTACAGCAGCTGAATCATGTGGATTAGACAGTCAGCTAAGAGCACATAATACAGCACTTGTAACTTTCACTGAATATCAGGAGAGTTGTCAGAAGGGCCAGGGAGACCCCTCCAGACCCTGGCCTTATCTAGAGGGGAAGATTATTGACAGTAGCTGTGTGATCCTATCCAGTAGACTTGCCAAGTGAAGAATCTTTTATAACCAAGAAAGTGAAAAAATGAAGTGATAGCTTTCATCAAAAGTGGAGTGGTAGCCCTCATGAAACAATCATCTCAATGCCATTGGGGTTTTCAAGCAGAATCAAGTCCACCCTACAACAAACATACGTGGAAAAGTGCATGCATTGGACAAAAAGTTAAGCCAACAGATATATATATAGAGAGAGACTCAAAGGGTACATGCTCAGGTTTGTTACTTGTATATATTGCATAATGGTGAGGTCTGGGTTTCTATGTACTCATCACCCAAATGGCGAACTTTGTACCCAGTAGGTAATTTTTCAGTCTCATCCCCTCCCACTCTCCTCCCTTTTGGGGTCCCCAGTGTTTCGACTTCCTTCTAGATGTCCATGTGTACCCATTGTTTAGCTCCCACTTATAAGTGAGAACATATGATATTTGATTTTCTGTTTTAGATTTATTTCACTTAGAATAATGGCCCCCAGCTCTATCCACATTGCTGCAAAAGACATAATTTCATTCTTTTTATGGCTTTGTAGTGTTCCATGGTGTATATATACTACACTTTCTGTATCCAGACATCCATTGATGGATACCTAGGGTTCTTCCATGGCTTTGCTATTGTGGCTCGTGTATAATAACCATGAGTGCAGGTCTCTCTTTGATATAACAATTTCATTTCCTTTTGGTAGATACCCAGTAGAGAGATTGTTGGGAGGAATGGTAGCTCTACTTTCAGTTCTTTGAAAAATCTGCATACTGTTTTCCATAGAGGTTTCAATAAATCCTTACTGTCTCATCAAAATATACATTGGATAGTTTTGTGGCCATCATATAAAATATGTTAGTTAGTATATAGCTGCTATTTACCTTTTTTGCTTCTCCAGCTTCTTGCAAATGTACTTAGCTTTATTTGTTCTGAATGAATAGGTGTTTCCAGGTACCTGAATGTCATGATTTGGATTGTGTCCCTAGAAAGATATGGTGAAGTCCTAACTCCCAGGACCTCAGAATATGACTTTATTTGGAAATAGGTCATTGCAAATGAAATTAGTTAATATGAGGTCATTCTGGAGTAGTGACGGCCTTAATCCAATATCACTGGTGTCCTTAGAAGAGGAGGAGAAGAGACATACAAGGGAGGAATGCCATGTGATGACAGAGGCAGAGACTGAGGTGCTGTAGCTGCAAGCCAGGAAATGCTAGGAATTGCCAGCAAATCACAAGAAGCTAGGAAGGGACGAATGAGGTTTTCCCATACGGATTTCAGAGGGAGCAAAGTCCTTCCAATACCTCGATTTTGGACTTCTACCTCCAGAACTGTAAAAGAATAAATTTCTGGGTTTTTTTTTTTTTTTTTTTTTTTGAGACCGAGTTTTGCTCCTGTTACCCAGGCCAGAGTGCAATGGCATGATCTTGGCTCACTGCAACCTCCACCTCCTGGGTTTAAGCAATTCTCCTGCCTCAGCCTCCCGAGTAGCTGGGACTACAGGCGTGTGCCAACATGCCCATCTAATTTTTGTATTTTTAGTAGAGACGGGGTTTCCTTGTGTTGACCAGTATGGTCTCAATCTCTTGACCTCATGATCCACCCGCCTCGGCCTCCCTAAATGCTGGGATTATAGGTGTGAGCCACCACTCCCAGCCAAATTTCTGTTATTTTAAGCCACCCAGTTTGTGGTTCCTTCTTACAGTAGTCCTAGGAAAGTAATATACTTGAAAATACATCTTGAAAAGCAATAATGCAGCTTTTGAAATGTTTGCTGATGACTATTTCAAGAAATTTTAATTATTTTAACTAGTAGTATTCTTTTTCTTTAAGTTAAAAATCTGTAGCAGTATGAGAGATTGATAGAATTCCATTCTTTATGAAGATGTAGGAAAAAGTGTGTTCGGTAATAGTCACATTCACCTGCCAATGACTTGCGAATTAAGCAACATTCCTCTAAGAATGCTCTTTTGGAAACCTACTTTAAAGAGTTGCTAGTCTTGTTTGCCTTGTTTGCCTTTTTGTGTTAAAAGTTTAAATTTTAGTTTGAGGTACATATTTTCAGAAACTCAAAGGAAACTCCCTTGAGATGTTTAGGAATTGTAACTGCTTTGAGGAGAGAGAGAGTGCAAAGAGTCTCATTTGATTAAATAAACTACTTCTGCTTATTGTTTGAAACGCAGCCACAGTAGAATCTTTATATTCCATCATTTGCTTTTTCCTGAGAAGTTCTTGGCACATATGAACTGGAGGGTACAATGCAAAGGACATTAGGCTTTCAATCTGGGAATGCCTGTGAGACAGCTGACCAGTACTTCAGAATGTCTACTTGGAAACTATGGTGGAATGTTTGTATAGGTACATAAGAGGGCACAGACATGGACACCAAGATGCAGAGAGACATCTGAATGTGGAAGCAACTCTTATACCCATTTAATGTCCACCATTTTTATTTTACAGGAAAAGCCCAGGGATATGCCCAAGGCCACTCATGCCAAGTATGGACTAGGTTAAATTCTACTGAACTCATCAAGGGCTTGCTAAGCACCAACTGTGTGCTTCTGTTGGCCATAGTCACCTGCAAATTTTAATATATCCAGAGCATGTAGTTATATAAGTATTGTTCTTACAAATCTCTAGATAAGACAACCAAGTACAAGGCAGGTATTGCTACTCCCCCAGTGTCACATAGCAGGGAAATGGCAGAAGGGAGTCTGGAACCCAAGTCTCCTCCTGCCAATCCAGTAACTTACAATTATATTACAACTTGAAAAATATGAGCACCACAGTTCATTTTCACATATGGTTATATATAAGACACATAAATTTGCCCTAATTATACCCCCTCACTTTCAGAGGAGTAATCCTCAACCCAAACTCCAGTCTGCTGAAGATATTCTCATCAACAGCTTTGTTTTATTTTAAACCAAGGCTTTCTTTCCACTCTGAAATGCCACCAGCAATTATAGGACCAGAAGGAAAATCCATTTCAGTTCAACTGTTGTCATAAAATATTAATCATCTCGGCAAGCAGCCATGTCCAAACTGCCTGTATTCTGCATCGATATTTTCTTTAGAAACATACCAATACCTGTGTATCCATAGAGAATGCAAGAGCTTGCAAATATTTTGAGCATTTAGAGGCTAATCACTGCTGAGTCACAAGAAAATTCTCTTCTTTGTCTTGATGCCAATGGTTGTGCCATTAAATAAAAAAAAATGGCATTGCTGCTGTATCCTTGGTACCATGGAGATTCATGGATTTCCTTTGAATTTTTCAGCTCTACTCAGGAGCCCAGTTCAAGAGCCAAGAGCCCACCTAGTTGAAGTCCCTCATGAGGGCACCCCAAAGGGAGAATTTGGCTGGGAAAAGGCCAACGTTAGATAGAAAACCTTGGGATTAACTGACTAAAGATGTAACCAACCATAATAAAAATAAAAGGTACTTGTTTGGGACACCTATTATAGGCCTGGAACTTTCTACACATTATTACTATCACAAACTAGGGATGCTTACAAACTAGGAATGCTTCTCAACATTTTCCAGAAATTGATGCTGTGAGTTTTATGTTACTCCGGTTTGTCCAACTAGAAAGTGGCAGGCCTGAGGCTGAGAGACAGGAGTGTACAACTTAAAGATTCCATTCTTTCGGCCAGGCACGGTGGCTCACGCTGGTAATCCCAGCACTTTGGGAGGCTGAAGTGGGTGGATCACTAGGTCAGGAGTTCAAAACCAGCCTGGCCAAGATGGTGAAACCCTGTCTCTACAAAACAAACAAACAAAAACAACAACAACAACAACAAAATTAGCCAGGCGTGGTGGCAGGCACCTGTAAACCCAGCTAGGACGCTGAGGCAGAGAATTGCTTGAACTCAGGAGGCGGAGGTTGCAATGAGTCAAGATCATGCCACTGCACTCCAGCCGGGTGACAGAAAGAGACTCCATCTCAGACAAAAAAAAAAAAAAAAATTCCATTCTTTCTATACCATGGTATTGCCCTCAAAATACTACCTCCAACTTATTGATTACTAATAGAATAGGAAGTGCTCAGCACTATCCTTACAGCACTACTCTCATAGCCTTCCTGCTTATAAATAGGCATCATCATCATTTTGCAAATGGAGAAGACGAAGCTAAAGAAGTTCCATTTATGATAGTGAAAGAGGGTCCTATCCCACAGAGCCAGGGCTCTGGGCCACAAACCCTTCCAGCCAGGCTGCCTGTCAATGGATCAATAAAATGGAAGCTCCATGCACTTAAGACAGAAATTTCAGTAGCTGGAGTTCAGCTAGTGACCTAAAACGCTGATCTGCTCTTTACAACCCTCAGATTCCCTCTAGAAATGCCTGCTTTCCACCCGAGTTTCCTTGAGCCCCACAAGATGGGTGTTGATACTCACAAGTTGGCTCTGTTATCAAACAAATTCCCTAAAAGGTCATGGAGACCAAGGTCCCGAGAAATCACTGCATCCTGGATAGCCCATTAGTTAATCTTAATAAAGTGATAAGTATTGTTCTTGGCACATGGAAGGCTCGTTATAATTATTTATCATCAGGGCGCATTGGCCCACGTGTGTAACCCCAGCACTTTGGGAAGCTGAAGCAAGCAGATCACTTGAGGTCAGAAGTTCATGACCAGACTGGCCAACCTGGTGAAACCCCATCTCTACACAAAAACTAGCCAGGTGTGGTGGTACATGCCTGTAATCCCAGCTAAATTCTAAAAAATAAACAAAGAATAATTGTTTATTATCCTATTTATAGCAACATTAGTGCATAGAATTTCCTATTGCCACATCAAGCCCACGTTTCATTTTCTCCTACCTTTCTTTAGAAATGCTACCCAATAATTGATGAAAGCTAACATGAGTAATGAGAGTTATTGTCATAATATATCCTCTGACATGCTGCCTTAAGGAGACTCTAGCATTACTTTTTTGGTGTTCCTGTCAAAAATGCATAACTTCAACCTAATCATGAGAAGAAAATATATCAGACAAATCCAAATGGAGAGACTTTCTTTGAAAGAACTGAGCAGTACTCTTCACAGGTGAAAATATCATAAAAGAAAAGGAAAGACTGAAAAAAAAACTGTCACAGGTTGAGAAAAAGCAAGGTGAAAAACAACTAAATGGAATGTGTGATTCTAGATTAGATCCTATAACATAAAGAGGCTGTTCTTGGAAAAATGAGGACAATTCAAAAAACATCTGTAGTTTAGTTAACATTGAACTATGAAATTCAACTAAAGTTGACCTGAGGATGCCTTCATACTTTGAGGCCTTAACAAATGGCAACCTAAGTATATAAACTAACTGAAAGCCTAACTTTATTATTTTGTGATAAATAGCCTTGTCTCAGTCAATCACAGGCTTCCAGTGATCAGCCATGTTCAAATAAGGCAAACACAGAACGGTAGCCAGTAAAGCTGTCTCTGTACCTCACTTCCATTTTCTGTTAATAGCAGCTGCCTCCCCGCATTGTGAAGGGAGCTCTCTGAATGTTTTCTGGTTCTGAGGGCTGTCCAATTTGAGTACTGTTCTCTGCTCAATTAAGTTCTGTTAAACTTAATTTTTCTAGTTTTTCTTTTAACAGTAGTAATGTTAACGGCCCTGTTTTGATCACTGTATTAGGTCATATAAAGAGTTAGTATCAGAGGAAGGGGGTAAAGGGAATTCAGGAATTCTTCGTACTATTTTTGCAACTTTTCTGTAAATCTAAAATTAGTTTAAAGTTTTGGTTGGTAGGTCGAGAGAAAGCTTAAAATCAGACTGAGGAGGCAAAATCAGACTGGTTGGGTTGGAATCCCAGTTCAACCACCTCTGACCTGTGTGGCTTCAGACAAGTTCCCTAACCCTATCTAAGCTTGGGTTTCTCAATTGTCAAATGTGAACAGTAACAGCTATCTCACAGGTTTGTTACAAGTACAGACGATAACACATGTAAATTGTGTAGCATAGTGTTTGACACACGTTAGGTATGCAAACTAGAAGCTATTGTCATTGCCTTTAATCAGTATAGGTCATTTTTCCTCCAAGTTGGGTACATAATCAAAAATAATCCTCAACAGGGCATTGACTGGTAGCTGTTTATTGTATTACCTTTCTAGGAATATTTGCATTTTAATAAAATGAGTTTGATGCTGCTAGAGAATTCAGTGGCGACTGTATTTTCTAAAGGTGTCCTCAACAATATCTGCCATCCTACAGTCTTTTCTAGAATCTTTTCATTCCTCCATCGAGGGTAGAATCTATGTGCCCTCCTTTTGTGTATGTTAAGATTTTGTAAATGCCTTGGCTGATAGTGTGGTAGAAGTGGTGGCATGTGATTTCCAAGGATAGGTCTTTAGCCTGTTCTCTTGGGTTGCTCATTCTTGGAACATAGCCACCATGCTGTAATAAAATCCAAGCAGCTCTTTAATAAAAATAAATAGATAGGCATGTTGTCATGCACCTGTAATTCAGCTACTTGGGAGGCTGAAACAGGAAGATCACTTGAATTCAGGAGTTTGAGGCTACGGTGAGAACCGATCATGCCACTGCATTGCAGCAGTTTATGGAGAGGTCAGTGTGGCCTCTGACCATATCCCTAGCTGAGCTCCCAGATGACAGTCAGCACCCACTGGCCATCCATGTGAATTAACTGTCTTGACAGCACGTAGTCCAGCTCCCGGTCAAGCCACTCAGCCAACACCACACGGAGAAGAGATGGCCAGCCCCATCACTCCCTCCTCCACTTGCAAATTTATAAGCAAAATATATTATTGTTATTTTTACCCATTAAGCTTTTGGGTGATGGTTTACTAGACACATCTTTATAACATATCATGACAGAAAATTCTCATAGAGAAGGGACCAGGAATAGAAATGGGATTTTTAAAAATGTGAACAGACTTGAGAACTGGAGCTAGGAATGGGCTTGGGTGGACTTGAGGAAGATTGGTGAACTTGAACTTTGTTCATCCTTTCTACAGTGCAAGAGAACTAAAAAGTACTTTTGCCCAGTGGACTAGAAATGGGAACAAAGTGAGAATATCTAAGATGGGGCCAATAAAGTAGGGCAGGCCCCTGGTGTAATTTCTCAGAAAAAATGGTGTCCAGAGTCAATATCAAAGTTAGCCCCCAGGGCTGGCCTACTGTAGTAGACCAACATTGAGGTTTGAGGTGCCAATTAATGGTGCTACTTTTTCCTTCTTGCTTTAAATCAATTGAGAACAGACCCAATAAGAATTCAAGTCCAGTATCAGTGTTTTGACCTTCAGATTAAGGATTTCCTGTATTTCGTGTTTGGGAAAGACAGGGCTTGAGTTTAAGGGCAAAGGAGGGCTGCCCACTCCTTCACATCCTCGTCTAGAACTAAAGAAGACCCGGGTTTGTGGAGCAGACACTGGATAGATCATGGAGATCACTCCCTGGCTCACAGCCTAGAGAGAAGCTCTCACATTTTTAGGCCTATCTCTAAGAGGCCAGCCCCACCTGACCTGCACCAGGAGTGCTTCCTACAGGGAAGCAGATAGAATCGACAGCTGCGAGCAGAGACCTGCCAGAGACAGGGCCAAAAATAAAGAGCCCAGTCCACATGGAGAACTGACTCTGCCCCATCTCACCATGAACTAAAAATAGATCATTCTTTACAAGACAGTAAGAAGCAGCTTCCTCCCCATACCTTCTGAGAGGGCAAAATGTCCTAGGTAGAGTCTGAGCCAAGGCTTTGGGTGAGAAGAGCAGTTTTTAAATAAGTGCAGGCATGTGTCTATGTAGCACAGGGGTTTTCAAAGTTAAGTGAGCATCAGAATCACTTAGGCTTGCTGAAATAGATTGCTGGACCGCACCTCAGTTTCTAATTCAATAGGTCCGGGTTTAAACCTGAGAAAGTGTTTTATTATTTGATTTTAAGAGTCTGGGTCTCGCTCTGTCACCCAGGCTGGAGTGCAGTGGTGTAATCATAGCTCACTGCAGCCTCAGACTCCTGAGAGCAAGCGATCCTCCCACTTCAGCCTCCCTACTGTATTCCCAGTAGCTGGGAGTACAGGCATGCACTACTATGCACAGCTCATTTTGTTTCTTTTGTTTTTTTAAAGAATGGGGTCTCACCATGTTGCCTGCACTAGTCTCAAATTCCTAGTCTCAAATGATCCTCCCATGTCGGCCTCCCAAAGTACTGGGATTACAGGAGTGAGGTACTGGGCCTGGTTGAAAAATTGTGTTTCTAACAAATCCTAGGTGATGATGACACTGGAGCTGGTCCAGAGGCCATTGTACATTTTATAATTCAGAAGACACCTACAAACATCTTATCTTGTTTAATTCTCACATCATTCGTCATTGACAAATGAGGGAACTGTGGCTGATGAGGACTGAGGGTCTTATCTAAGCTCATACGACACTACGCGAAAGAACTAGGCTTCAAATCTGTCTAATGATGGAAATGTGAAGATTCTATTCACTGAACTATAGCTGTTTCCTGGAGTAAGCGCAAAACACAGAGAGAAAATCAGGCATCTTATAGGCATTTAAGAAACAGAGGTGGATGCTTTGTATGCTCATCATTTTAAAAATGGGATTATTGTTAATTTTGCAATTCCTTTTGAAAAATTCCAAAATTTCTTGTAAATATTGAGGAACAAAGAACAAAAAAAACTTGTGCGTTTGTTTAAACGTTTTATGTCAACTTAGAGCAGCAAAGGCAGGAAGGGCTGAGTGCCCTTTAGGAACAACCATGGTTGTACTAGCAGCCACGCTGTTGCCTAGAGACCGGGCAAAACTTGATGTTATTACACAAGGGAGTTGCTGGCTATCACTGATAATTCTTTTTTTTAAAAAATCGTTCACTGAAAAGCCTTAACCAAAACAAGTTCATCTGCAACAGCACTATTTCAAACAGTATTAGGGAAGCTATTTTGGGGATTATGAGAGCTTTATATTACTCTTTCTATTGCCTCATTTGGCTTGCAGTTGTGATGTCAAACTCTCCATTAGTTCTCCTGATTACTTAACTAACTGTTTGAAAAACCAGGACCAAAGACCAACCAGTGAGAAGGATTCATGGAGGTCATAAACTGATGAGGGCCATCTGCTGCTCCTCCTTTTTTATGTTGCCAGAATGAGGACCAGAACTCTTGTGGACATTTCCAAAGATTCACACCAATTTTATGATACCTCCATATGTATTTATCACAGGTATTTATATTTACAAGTAGATCTTGATGCCTTACCTATTGTCACAAGTCTTTGTGGCTTCTTGACAACCTAGACTGTGAGGCACCTGCTCCTGCCTCATGACCCCACTTTTTGAACCAAGGTTATAGCATACCTAGCCAACAGTTTCTCAGTTCTTGTGATGTGTGTGTATTTGTGTGTGTGTGTGTGTGTGTGTGTGTGTGTAAATGAAGGTAGAGGATTGAAAAATACCAACGATTTTTTTAAAAAAAACAATTGATACTCTTCACTGAATAATAACATGCTTATAAAAGTTCACAAATTATTAAGTGCAGATGTTGGTGAATTTTCACAAACTGAACACACCTGAGTAATCAGATTAATAAACAAAAGTTACAAGTTCCATGGAAATTCCTATCGTGTTCCTTTCTTGTCACTACTCCAACCAAGGATAACCCCTATTTCTGACTTCTAACACTATATATGAATTTTAGACACATATATAAATATATCATATAGTATACTCTTTTGTATCTGACATAAGAAATATCCATAGTGAGGCTGGGCATGGTGGCTCACACCTGTAATCCCAACACTTTGGGAGGCTGAGGCAGGCAGATAACTTGAGGTCAGGAGTTTGAGAGCAACCTGGCCAATATGGTGAAACCCCATCTCTACTAAAAATACAAAAAATTAGCCAGGTGTTGTGGCAGGTGCCTGTAGTCCCAGTTATTCAGGAGGCTGAGGCAGGAGAATCATTTGAACCCGGGAAGTGGAGGTTGCAGTGTGCTGAGGGTGCAGTGTGCCAAGGTCCCACCACTGCACTCCAGCTTGGGCGACAGACCAAGACTCCATCTCAAAAACAAAAACAAAGAAAAAGAAATATCCATAGTGTTATGTGTATTTATATACTGTCGACTCTCATTGCTGTCTAGTAATCTATATGTTTACCACAATTTATTGATTCATTCCACTGTCAATGAGTACTCAAGTAATTTTCATTTTGGAGATATAAATAGCACTGTTATAAATATCCTACTACATGTCTGTCGATGCTCATATGTATGTGTTCCTATTGCATATACACCTGGGAGTGAAGTTGCCAGGTCACAAGTTTGCGTATGTTATGTTTAGTGCATACTGCCAGTTTTGAAAAATACTGGGCTCAATTTACATTACCCTACACACAGCATGAGAATTTTGTTTGCCCCACATCCTTGCCAACAGTAGGTATTGCCAGAGGTTTTTATTTCAGCCATTCTGGTGAGGGTATTTGGTAACTCGTTTTAGTTTTAATTCACAGATGTTAGATATTTGGATATTGCCTAGTTGAAGTGCCAGTGTAAGCCTTTTGCCCATATTTCCATATCTTCCTTAACTTAAAATCTCCTTATATCTTCTCTACTCTCTTCACTCCTTTCCGTTAAAAACCCCAAATATCCAACAGCATGTAGACAATTACACTGTGGCACATTCATTCACCAGCACACTATGCAATAATAAAAAATAAATACTCTCTGGATACCCATAGCATACATAAACTCAAAACTCTCATGATGAGCCAAACACAAAAGAATACATGTAATATTCTACTTGTATGACATTCTAAAACAGGCAAAACCAGTGTAGAGTGACACAACAGATCAGTGGTTTCTGGGAATCAGGAGGCAGAGTTGACTGCAAAAAGGCACGAGGGAACATTTTAATGTGATGGAAATGTCCTGTCTTGATTTCAGTAGTGGTGACATGGGTCTTCACATTTATCATAACTCTGAACTATATACTTAAAATGGATAATTTAATTGTATTAAATTACACCCCAGTAAAGATTATTTAAAAAAAAAAAAAAAACTTTTACTGAGCCCTACCATTTGTAACCCATAGGATACAGTGAAATTAGCACTTTTCATGGGCCACAGTGATCAGTCAAGATGCCCATAGACCCATGTGTACTCTACCCAAGAATCCTATCTTTCTAGAAGGAAAGGCCAAGTTGGCAACACCTTTTGAAATAACCATTTTGATTGAAGACATCACAAAAGGCTGGTTCTAGCTACCTTGGCCACCTCACACCCCACAAATGGTTTTGTTTCCGCTCACTTACGGCTGCCTGCCAGTCACCCAGTGAGCAAGCCAGCACACTTAACAAGCTGGCCCATCACCACATTTGAAATATACAATGCAAACGCAGGCTTTTCCAACCCTGGGCTGGGGAAACAAACCTCCCCAGTGAGTTTTCCCAACATTTTACCTTTAGAAGCCAAACTGCAGTCATTTTTTCCTTTGACTCTCAAGGGAAATCTGACGGGGACCACATTTCAGAGCTTGTCTCCCATACAGCACCAGAGCTGCGGTATTTTAATAGCCTTTTTCGGCCCCTCCCCTGGGAACATATTATTATGTGATCATTAGTGATGGGCAAACCTCACTGGGTTTCCAGGTTTGAGTCTGTGCCAGAAGTTCAGAGTTCCTCCTTTCTTGACAACTCAAAATCTTCCCTATTTTTTCATTTTTACTCATTCATTTGTTTTTGTGTGCTTTGCTCAGTTTCTTCTATCTATCTGAGCACACTCTCCAGCCTGTTCTCCACTTTACATCACAGAAGACAGGAAGGAGATCGGGCAGGAAGCATGAGTTTCTTGCTAGTTTCTCTCTGCTGAGGTGCCCTGGATGAGACAGAATTGTAATCAGGTCCCAGTTATTGGTACAGCCAGAAAAGGGTGACTAGACACCTGCTGTACCCCCATGACCACAATTCTGGGGGTGCCCAGTGAGTTTGTAGGTGAATAATGGATAAAGGCTTTTCTTAGAAGGGTTACCATTCCAACTGGGATGCTGGGACAAACAGGCCAATAAATGTATTGACAACGGCATGCAGACATTGCCGCACCAATATATTTTAAGGACTAAGCAGTCAAGGGTACAGGAAGGCTGAATACTGTGCATTAAGATGTTGTAAACAAATGTGTACATTCTTCATTTGTGGTGACAATTGCTGTTTCTGGAATATTAGAATAAGACACTGAACTCATTATTTTGAAACTCAAACACTCTAACTGATGAGTCCTATCTATATTTCCTCCTCTAGAGAATGGGAACACTAGTATTTATTCCCTGAGCTATATTGGTGGTTATGGATCTAATTGAAGTACTGAATTTATAAGTTAAAGATTACATTCAAGTCAAATCCTCGACCACAAGGCTGACACTCAAGCCTGTGTTTGTAAACTGGACCCACCAGTCAGGGTCATGAGGACAGTGGGGACAGTGGGGACACATAGTCTCAAGCCCTTCCCATCTTCCATTAAAGGAATCCCAGAATACAGCATGTCCCATGACCTTGTAGAAAGCTGGGAATGTCCAGGTCAGAGGCAACAGCTGGCCTAGGAGGGCTGCCAGAATTTCCGGGACACTGATGCATTCAGAATAGGAGAAAAGGGAACATTGGAGGGGGTGCCTGGCAGGGGGGAAAGGGAAAGGAAAGGAAAGCAGAGGGAGCTCAGAACTGATAAATTCAGATTTGTGTGTTTCACTCACCCTGAAAACACTGGTGAGTCACTTATACTAGTTTGTCTTTTCTCCTTAACACATTTTCCCATTTGTCTGAAACTATACTGTGTCTGCTATGAATAACTTCACACAGTTACAACACAAAATTTGTTTTTCTGCCCAAAAAGCAGCCACTTGTTTTTGGACCAGATTTTCCCAAAGTGTACTAAATCAGGGAGATCATTTCTGCCATGGTTAAGGCCTCCCCACTGCTTTCTGTGAGGCTGCACTCCTTAACATACCTGTTTCTTACAGAAATTTGCTACCAGACTAAGGAGATTTGTGTCCTATTCATTTTTTTCTTTTGTTTTCTTTACCAAATACCTTGGTTCTCCCTTAACCTTTGTTTATTGTATTGATTGCTATTTGTAGACAGTCTTGGGGCAGAACAATAATATGTGTTCAGAATACTGTAATTTATGAGTATTGTCATTTTATGATTGCTTTGATTTTTTGTTTGTTTGTAGAAAGTGATTTATTTAGAGACAGAGAAACAGGAGGAAGAAAAAGAAAGAAACAGCTAACTCTCACGCTGAGTGAGAGAATCCAGAAAGATGGAATCCAGGAGAGGAAAGCAGCTTCCACACTGAGTGGAAAGGAACAGAGAGAGACGGAGTTTAGGAGGGGAAGACAGGCTTCCACTAGAGAGTGTGGAAGATTGCACTGATTTTTATTTTAAAAGTGGTTTTACAAAGTGAAAATTGACAGAAGGTAGAAATGCGTCGAATAGAGGATGATATCCGAAATGCACAAAATGTCTAAGACAAGAAAGGTAACTAGATTTCATCTCAGGTGCCAACTCCATCAATTAGCAGTGACTGCTGGCAATGTTGTTCTAAGACGGAACCTGAGGCCCTTCCAGGCTTAGCAGGAAAAAGGGCCAGGAGTTGATTAGTAATGTCTGCCACAGCAGAGTTGATTAGTAATGTCTGCCACAGTGGAGCCTTTATGGTAGGTGGGGACACATATTGAGTAGGGTGTCAACACAAACATTATATACATTTTATTTCTGGTCTTGGCAAAATGTTCATTCAAACAACTAATATGTCAAAGAAGTTGTGTAGGAACTGACCAAACTGAATAGAGACCTGAGCATTTCCTTTTGAGTATGTAGCTGGATCAAAACACATCTCATCATACTCTTAACCCAATGATTCCTCATCTATGTAATCATATTTTTATCCTGTCACCTAAGTAAATGACTTGGAGATTGCCCCTAGTTTCAGTTGTAAGCAATAAAAACACACTTAAAATTTGCACTGGAAATTGAAAATCGCTTTCATGTATACACATTCAACATGCTATCCACCCCCTGCTGCCTTCGGCATCTTTCTAGCGTCATGTTCCTTGTGCCTCCTAGAAAAAAGTGTGGGACTGATGCTAGAAGAAAGAGAGGAATTTAAATGAAGAAATGATGTTGTCATTATTTGTAATTATTGATTCGCTTTTCTTGTTTACCTAGAAAACAGGTGGAAAATAGAAGAAAGAGATTTTTGGCCTCAGCCAGGACTGAGAAACCAAGTCTAGTTAGTGAGTCAAAAAACAAATGGTATCCCCTCTTTTATTATGTAAAATCTCATAAATGCATTATCTATATGAAATGTCCTTGGACAAGTCTTAAATATTTTCTTTACTTAAACTCTAATAAATTTGGTTGCTAATCTATAAAGAAAATGAATGTACACTTTCTAGTGTTAAACAGTAACTTTCTGTGTGTATCTGTGTGTGTGTCTGTGTGTGTGTGTAAGAACCTCAATTCTGCTGGTCATAGGTGGTGTAGCTAAAGCAGGGATTATTTATTTACATAGGATCAAAAATAATATGACATATATACATGTTTATAGTAGGTTCTCAAAAAGCACAGATGTATATAATCGTGCCAATGAGAAGAACATTTTCTTTATAGCATTGTATTAATCAGCCCTTGCCATAATGAAGCTGCATAACAAATCACCCCAAAACTTGGGGGCTTACAACAATAAGCCTTTGTGTTTCTCACTCATGCTTCTGCAGTGATGCTGGGACTATTCTGCTTCAGATGAGGAGTTGACTAGGGTTGGCTCTAGGCTTTAGGTTGGGTTCAAATCTGTTCCATGATCACATTTTGGGGCTTAAAATAATGAGGCTGTTGCTACCTGTGTTATACTCTTTGTATGGTGATCACAAGAGTAGAAGAGGTGAGCAAAACAGCCTTTTCTGGGAACTCTCCCACAGTCATTTCTACCCACATTTCACTAATTAAAGTGAGCCATATGGCCAACCCCACCATCAATGGATAGAAAAATTGAGTTTGTGTTTAGAAAAATAAACTGCAAAGTTACACGGCAAAAGGGTCACACCTTTTGTGAAAATAGGAAGTGCCAAGGAATTGAGAAAATGAACCAACTTACCAAAAATATTAAGAGGTTCTATTTAAAACATTAAATAGGGAAGTGGTATCATGAGGTAGATAATGGTGATAATAGTAGTTAGTGTTACAAATCAGGCTTTGGAGCCAGGGTAATCTGAGTTTGAAGACTGGCATCATTCCTTTCTGACCATGTGGCTTCAACAACAGGCAGGCCTTGCAAATGCTAGAACTGGAAAAGCATTCATCAGCAAGACTTTGTGGATATCTATCCCTGTGCTCTTCCAAGAATGAGAATCAGTTACTCTTCGCTTGTACGTTTCTTCACTTGGGCATTTCGAGTTCCTTGAAGATATTATCTAATAAACCCAGCTAATGTTGTGCCAGTTGGGGCATATAATTTTGCAACAGGATGCCATTGGCTAGTCTGTGACCAAGGCGTGTGCATACTTCAGGTTCAATCAGCTGTGATGGTGAGGGTGGAGGGGGAGTCATACATAATAAGATTTCCTTAGCAGACATGGCTGGTTGTCTACCAAAGACTTAGGCTTTTAGAGAAAAGCTGTTATTGGGCTGCAGTGACCTTTCCTACATTTCCCAGACCCTCTTGAATCTAGGTTGGGTCATGTGACTAAGGTTCCCCAGTAAAATATAAACAGAGATGTTGTGTACCACTTCCAAACAAGGGAGTCAAGAAGCTGATGCCTTTTCTACTCTCCAATTTCCCAGTCAGTATTTAAATGGAGAGAACTCTAAGACCCTAGAGGAGGACAGAGCCACAATAGGGAAAGAGGTTGGGTAACTGATCACATGGAAGACTTCCTGTGAATGAGATATCAACATTTAAACTCAATACTTTAAAAAAAAGTTGGTCAATAAAGACTATTTCACAGGGTTGGAACAGAGCAACTGCCCCTAGAAGGTGCTGATGGCAGAGTAGTCATTGGGATTGGGGTGTGGAATGAAGCAAAACATAAAAGGCTAATCAGCAGAGCAAAGACTTGAGCTCAAAGGTCTGAACATGCCCCACTTGGAGGCTTCCCTGATGTCACACTCAGAGAAGGTTGAATTCAATAGGAAGTCAGCTGTAACTGCCAAGGAGTATGGCCTTTGTGAGGGATGAGCTCCAAATTCACACAGTTGTCCACATTTCCACTGTCACTCATCAGGAAGAGCTTTCACTTAACACAAGGATGTGAGGATTTCCTTTGTAAATTGGTTGTTCCCCTGGATATGGTTTCTGAAATATCTGTCTTAAGGTCCAAGCTGCTCTCTCTTTCCATTAGAAGCTCTGCTCACCCATCTCAATGAGTTTTAACAAAATTTTAAAAGCCATTGACTCTCTAGGGAAGGCTGATTTCTCTCTTGGCCTCCATTTGTGGCCAGCACTGGCACCAGCTATACTTACTTAAGCTCACTGATGAGGAGGAGGAGCAGGGAGCTGTTCTCTCATTAATAACCCTACTTTGAACCTAGTTTCAAGCTCAGGGCTTTGGCAGGTGATGGCAGCCTGGGCCAGAGGACTCTGCTAAATGAAGTCCATCTTTGTCTGCAGGGTATTCCAAGGCCAAATAGGAGGGAGGAAGAAGAAAGCTCAATCTCTCTTTCTCTCCCTCCCTCTGTCTGTGTCTCTCACTCCCTTCCTCCTCTCTCTCATTTTCCTGACACAAATCCAGTTATCCAATTGCTGCCTTCCTCCAGCTGGCACACTACCCAGGCAGTTGAATTTACTCCATGCTCCAACACTTTCTCTGTGAGCTGTGCTACAACTGCTTCTCTGGTTAAAGACGGTTCTGTCTTTCCTTGCCTGGATCTAAGCTGCTTGCCTCTCATTAACAGAGTCCAACCTCAGCCAGTGTGTTGCCACTACCACCTTGCCTAGTGCCTCCCCCTTTCTCCTGACAGACATACCTTTATACTGCAGGACTGACTTCCTTTTGGACCCCAAGAGTCTGCTAGCTTAGTTGCTCTCAGCCATGGGAATCAAAGCAGAGCTCCCTTTTAGAACTCTATAGTCATCATCATGAACAAGAACCTCCCGACAACAGTGGTGGAATGGGGGCCTGTTCAGCTGTTGGAAACAAAGGCTTTATTCTGAATCTTTTCCCGACTGATAACCAGTCTGCCATTCTAAGTGGGAAGGGTCGGGGTGGCAGGGCATTGAAGAGAGGGGAGGAGAGTGCAGTGCAGAAAGCTTATTAACCTTTCCAAGAGGCTTGTGATTCAAGCTTGTGGAGCTTAACATTTTTTTTCTCTCCCAATTATTTTAATGATGCTGCAGAAAGTCCTAACTTCTGTGTTGAGACTGTGTTGCTGCCACAGTCTGGGCTGATCACATGGTAACATTCCGACCCAGGCTTGGTCACCCCGTAAGAAAAATCAGCTTGGGAAAACCACTCCTCCTTCTGCGTGCATCTCAGTCTCTCTCTCTTAAGGAAAAAAAAAGTCTCATTTTTAAGAGCTTTGAAGCTTAAGTCTTAGATGTGAGCTTTGCTTCAGAGTTTATTAGTTATATTTTATCCCCATTCACCACTCCCTTTGAAAAAGTTTATATTCTGTCAGGATGGCAATTATTTGACTCTAATTCAAACCATTTTGTATCATTTAGATCCAGGCACATTGCTTGATTTCAATAATTAAAGGAAGGTACCAAATATTTTTGTTGCTAAAGGAACTTTAGTCACGTAAGCCAGTTCATCAATCATGTTTTTTTAAATTTCTCAATCTTAATGTATCCCTCATCTCATTTTGAGCGAGAAAATTAAGCCAATAACATAAACCTAAGAGCCAACTACTGTAGTCTGTACTTTGAACCCAGATACAAAAGTAAATATTCCTTCCTGTGAGGTTTAAGATCAAGACGTATTGATTTAGGAGGTTAACTAATACTTAGCAGGAGGCTGATTGGGGGCTGGAGATGTGGGAGGAAGAAGACAGGAGGAACAGAGGAGCAAATGACTTTTTCACTTCTGTGAGTGCTTATACAGTCTTATCTGGAGGCACTGACACATTTTTAGTAACCCACCATGAACATCATCAGAGTTGGGAGAATTGGAAAGATGGTGAAATCTTTCTGCAAGCCCAGCCCCCCTTTCCATTTAACAAGAGCACTAGACATTGATGAGATTGGAGAGAAATCCATTCTTGTCTGGATTGCCACCTACATATATCTTAAAGTTTTAAACTTTCATGTACATATCATCTACCAATGGATAATTACACTTATCATAAGTGAACAGCTTGGTGAACTGTCAGAAATTAAATAACCCTGTGTAACAAGCACAGGGAACATCAATTACATCCCTAGAAACCCCTCTCATGCCCATTTATAGTCATTATCTCCCCAGGGGTAATCACTATACTAACCCCTAATATAAATTAATGTGTTTTTGAATATATCATCTCTTTTAATCTGGTTTGGGCTATAGAAGTGGAATCATAGCATATACTTTTGTGTCTGGCTTCTTTCACTCAGTGTTTGAGACAGTCATCATTGTTTTTGTGTGTACTTGCAGGCTGTTCATTCGTTTTGCTATGAATATTCCATTGCACACCAAAAATTGTACATCCATTCTGCTGTCGGTGGGCATTAGGGCAACTTCCAGTTGGACTACTATGAATAGCATTGTTACGAGCATTCTGGTACATATATTTTGGTGAATACATGTATACATCTTTGCTGTCCTTAATTCTAGGAAAGAAATTGTTGGATATATGGTATGCATGTGAATTATTTTAGTAAAAACTGCCAAATAGTTTTCCAAAGTGGCCATAACCGATTTACACTCCTGCAAGCAGCGTCTGAGAGTTCCAGTTGCTCCACATCCTTGCCAGTGCTTCATATTTTCAGTGTTTACTTTCGCTCTTCTGGAGGACATGTGGTGATAATTGCATTGTAGTGTCACTTTGTATACCTCACACACGTTAGTTTTCATTTCTCTGCTTTAGTTAATTTCCAGTCATCCCCTGACCTAACAGGAGCCAACCTGACCATCAATTTTTTTCTTATAAAGACTCTATCATTACTGAGATTCTCATAACACCTCCTCCGCCTACCTATGTGGACTTTTCCTTTGGTTGAGCTCTGGTTGAGCTTAGACATGGAGCCAGTCAATTTATATTCAATTAGCTGCTGTGTAGTGTCATGTGCTAAGCATTTTTCCGGTGTTGTTCTGTTTTCCCAACTGGAGACAGGGTTCCTTGGCTCTGCAGAGTCCAGCTCTGCAGGCACTGTGCACATACATAAAGCCACTGGGCTAAATTCAGATGGGCATAGGCTATGCCCCATTGGACTGGACTTTGTTCTTTTCACCCAATCATTCGGATGCCCAATATCTAGATGCCTGATATTGATCAAAACCACTTAAGAAGTTAAGTAGTGTGGAAAGTCAAGTAATGTGGTTTAAAAAAAAAAAAAAAGGCACAGTTCTTACAGTTACAGTTGGGCTTGAATTTCATACTTACCAGTTTGGTTCTTTCTGATCTTAAGAAGTTACTTTCTGGTTCTGAGCTTCAATTTCTACATATACAGAAAGAAAACAGTTGTAAAGAGGATTCTACAAGATAACAGCAAACTGTCTGGCACATCGTAGGTGTTGCAAAAGTTTCTTTCCTTCTATATGCCCTTCTTCTTTGCATTGGTCTCAGCCTCTCAGGTTTATAAGAGGATAAAACTCAAAATGCTTTGTAGCTCTTTGGTTTGGCAATGAACAATTCTTCCTTGTCAACCTCTCTGAAATCAAGCAGTATGCTAAATGAGGTGGTGACTTTTGAAATAAATTTAATAACTTTTTCAAAAAATTTTTTTTGAAATAAAATTAAAGAGAATATCACTTCTGAAGTCTAATTAGGGCCTTTAATGGCAAAACTTTCTTTGAGGCAAAGCTAGTTAACAGCTTTTATATTATTTCCACCTTTCTATCTGCTTGGCCCACTATGACAAGAAGGAGATACCTTAAGTGCAGCTCATGGAAGTAGCATTCTTCTCTGCTTTTAAGTACATGATGAAGATTCAGACATCTCTGCTTTTAGAAGGGTTCTTGGAGAAGTAAATGAGCGGAGGGAGTTGCATAAGAAATTTCCTGCTCTTCCCTGGAGGATGTTGGCTGCCTTTTTCAATACGCAGGCAAGCTCTGGAGTCACATACTGACTTTGCCCCTTAAAATGACTTAAGGCTTGGAAGGGTGGCCTCTATCTTTCTTCTTTTTAAGCATTGCTGTGCTGTGCCAGTGTGGGTTGGTGTATCCAAAACCAATTTGGCCGGTCCTTAGTTTGTTTCCTCTGATAGTGCTACACTGCAGGCAGGGTTACAAAACACAGTCCAGCTGGCTGGACTTTCTGATATCTCAAAATGGTTCCATGGCCTTTAGTTGGATTTAGTGGCCAAAATTTTGGTAGATTTCCCTTTCTCTTTCGTTTTAATTTATAGCCAATTTCAATGGAACCATGCCATAATACAGATCGATGTGTATATACCACAGGTCAAAAACCATGAAATAGAAATCTCGGATATTAATTCTCTAAGCATATTTTTTAATAAAGTGATTTTCATATAGATTCTTGTTCTTTGCCCTAGTAGAAGAGGAGTGAATGGAAATGTTAGAGTGAGAGACATGGTAAATGCATTTGATAACTTTTCCAAGGCTCTGTCATTTAATTTTGTACTATGAGAATTAAGTGTTATTATCTTCATTTTAAAAAATAAAAAGAGGCTCAAAGGAATTTTATATATTATTAAAGGTCACACAGCTCTGTGAAGTTAGAATTAGATTCTTAGGTTTGACTAGATCTCTTCCTTTTCTTCTCTTCTCTCCCACCTAGAACCCATCCAACATTTCTAAATGTATTGGAGTCAGACATTACCTAAATGGTCTCCAGGTCCTATCAAGCACAGAAATTCCCTCTCTGAGGTCCACGACAGCTCATCAAACTTCTGGTTACCTACAATAATGATTAACTCATTCCTCTACAGGGTAACCAATAGCCATTTTGCATGATTTTTCCTCCTAGTCAAAATTCACTTTTGTTGGAGCAGATTCATACCTACTCTTACCAACTCTCAAGCTGATTGTGCACAGCTCTTCCCAACTCCACAGTTAGTGATGCCAATTTGGTGGCTTGAAATCGGCTATGATGGGTGTGTTTACATCACAGGAATTATCAAAAGCTACAGATTAGGGCTTCTTCCTCCACAAGTATCACCCACTCTGCTACACTGAGAACCACTTGTTAAACATTTATCAGCACACCATTGCTTCCACCCTTTGGGAGTTATTCTGCCCTTTGGCCTTCTGTAGAAGTCCAAATCTTCTTCCATAGCAGCCTCTCAGAAATTTCAGAACAGCTCTTTGCCCACTCTGTCCTTCTGTGATAGCTTTGGGAAAACCCAAGTTGGAGTTTCAGGTTGGTCTCTTAGTTGCTGTTGAACCGTGAGCAAACAATTTAATCTCCCTAAATTTTAATTTCCATATATGGAAATGAGAGATGATAAAAACAATATCTTACTGCTGAGATGGATGTGAACCTTAAATGAGACAGTAGACATAAAATACACTGTCTAATCTACAGAAAACTCTCAATTAACTTTATTATTAGGATGATTATTGTTATTGATCATACCACTGAACACTTAAGAGTTATCCAGGACTTCCAGCAAATGGATTGTACCTGTCAGGGTCTTGGCAGGAGCAGAGACTTAGTTACAAGGGAGTTGTAACATACGAGACTTGGTTAAAGAGAGGTTAATGCCCAGACCATGTGCAGAAGAGTGAGAACAGTTGAATAGTTAAAGAAACTAGTAAGGTATGTTGAGACACCCAGGATCTACCAACAGCAAGAAATTGTAACCACCCCAAGGTCTACAGGCACACACACACACACAAAGGAGCAACAATGCCGTGAGTGACAGCCCCATGGGAGCTGGACTGTCACACATGAGATCTAGCAGGAAGAGAAGAGGGGGAGCCATACTGTCACCTCTCTATCTCTTTCTAACTTCCCTCCAATCTCTTGGCAGTACCTCCAGCAGCCAGAAGCCAGAGACCACAGCATCCTGGATAGCATGGTTCCATCCATAGATATCACCTCATGGGACACAAAGCAGAATAATGCAAAGAGAGTGGACTGGGGCAAAGGAGGTGTGAATGAAGAACAATCAACATTTGAATTTTCGATCTTTCATTCAATCTGCTGAATCCACTTTTGGCATCTTTTTCTTGTACAAGATCCAGACTAAGAAACCATGCAAAAATTTAACTGGAATTTAAATTCCAGGAAATGGTTTTGATCCTTGAGATTAATTATGCTTTAGATTTTCTATGATGCATTTAAAAAAATCTAGACCTGGGTTTTGCAGGGTGCCCATTATCCTGCACTTTGAGAATTGCCCATATCCCAGGCAGAAAGGTCCTGTGTTACCACTTGATTCATATTGTTCCATTCATCAGCCTTATCCAGTACTTGCCTTCACTTCATTTCCTCTCTCTTTGAAACCATGCCTCTGAGTGTCATTGCTATTGTCCATTCATGTGTGTGTTTTGTATTTTAAGGGTCTTTAATTGTTTGATTCTGACAGCGTTTCCCTCCCTTTTAAACTACCTCAGAAGTCTATTCTTTAAAGAAATCTACAGGACCTGAAATGTATTAAAGACTTCAGAATTTCTCATAGGATGTTTTCATCTGTTTTTTTTTTTTTTTTTTTTTAAGAGGCATTTTATAGCTCAGGGAGAGCCATTTAAAAAATCTCATTTTACTGAGGCACACATGCCCCTGTTTGTTCAGAAGTCTTGACTGACAGGAACTGCTTAACCACTCACCTGTGTCTGTCTAAACCTGCCAGATTCTAAGAGGTCATTGACTCTTTTCATAACTCAGTGTTTATGCAAAGTTCTCTGTCATTCACACAGTTAATAAAGGTGGTGTCATTTAGCCTTTGAAAGCTATTTCCAGGGATCATTTCTTACAACAATGAAAGAGTCAAATAAATCCCAATGACCCGAGCAGATAGATTCTTGAGCCAGTCAAACTTCTACATTTTTGATGTCCATATTGACATGGCTGTCTACGGAACAAGGACAGAGGTAATGACATTCCCCACAAGTGCTCAGGTTTATACCGCAGATTGATTTCTGTCCAACCCATTTTCATTAACTTTTCTATTATAAATAAGTCTAACTCAGGTAACATACATGAGTTAAGTAAAACAGGTGTAAGAAAACATACTTTGGCACACAGATGCTCTAGGCCTGTATTTGTTTCTTACATTTGATAGATATGTTGGTGCAAGACATATTTTACTGTTATTTAATTCTATATTAAGAGAAAAAATATTGTGGGTGTGATGACAAATGGCAACAGAGGCCAGTATTTTGGGGTATGAAAAACCAGGGAGCATGTGTCCCATCTAGAGGGATGCCCCACTGCTTTGCTCCAGCACACTGATGCTACGTGGGAAGGAAGGCCTGGCTGGTGTTGTCAAATCTTCTCTCTCTTTAAAAAAAGAAAGCAGGAATATTAGGTTTTTATAGAAAAATTTCCAAATTTTAGATTTTTGCAACAATTTTGTAAAAGTTAAAAGGCACTTTTTAGGCCAAATCTGATACTTTTTAAAGCTAGATACCACTGACTGGCCACCAGTTAGGAGCTGCTGAACTCAGTGAGACCCAAATGCAAGGCGTCTGAGCAGTTTGACATGGAGCAAGGAGAGGGAATATTTGTTCTGATTAATTTCCTTCTACAGTACCAAAAATGCAGAAATTGTGGAATGTTCTAGAAGTCACCAGGACAGTACTCAACTGCTTTCAGGGCAGTCCTGGATCCTGATCACCTTCTTCCCTACTCCTCAGAGTCACCTCTTCCCAATGCACAGACACTCTTACATCCACACACATGTGCATGCATGCGCAGACACACACACACACACACACACGCCCTGGTTACCTAAAGCTGTCTTTCCTTGAAGTCCAGTCTGTATTTAGACAACTTAGCTTCCTGCTTGGGTATTATGCTATTAGAGCTTGAAAATATTTCCATAATGACATTCCTGTTTCACTAAGTCCTTTGAATTCTTGATTCAATGTCATTCAAAGTCATTTGGCCATGTGAAACCTCTGGCTCCTGAGATCTGTGTGCATACCCAGGTGCCTCTTTGCTGGTTGTATGAAGTTGACTGCAGATTTGTAAGCACTCACCTTGATCCCATTGAGAACAACATCATGTCCACTAAACACTAGGGAAATCTTAGGGTTTTGCAATTCCTAAGGTTGGCCGGGTGAGAAAACCCATCTAAATGATTATTTATCATTGTGTGGATAAAGCTTCTCAAACAAGGGATCAGCATAGATCATTAAGTATGCCAGAACAGTGGTTCCCAATCTTTTTTGGCACTGGGGACCAGTTTCATGGAAGACAATTTCTTCATGGAGTTGGGGCAGGGGGATGGCTTTGAGATGAAACTGTTCTACCTCAGATCAGCAGGCATTAGATTCTCATAAGAAGCATGCAGCCCAGACCCCTTGCATGCGCAGTTCACGATAGAGTTCTCACTCCTATTAGAATCTAATACCATCACAGATGCGGAGCTCAGGGGTGATGCTCGCTTGCCCACAGTTCAACTTCTGCTGTGTGGCCTAGTTCCTAACAGGCCACAGAGCAGTACCAGTGGCATTAGGTACAGGTACTGTAGTGGATGTTGAGAACCACTGTACCAGATGATATCCTTCAGTATTTTAAGGCATTTCAGAACAGACCTAGTGGCTCCTGCTCCTAAAAGGGATACTACACAGTGTTGTGGTATCTGAATACCTTAAGGAACCAAGACAATTCTGAAGTTAGACCCAGAGCAAGGGACAGAGGAACCCTTCCAGAGGCAATCCCGAGGTTAGCACCCTCTAGCCCAGCCAGCCTCTAGCTTGTGACCTCATCTCCATCCTCTACTTCCTCTTTCATTGCCTCTGCACTGTTTGACTGGGGTTGCCATAATTCTGACGTGGCCTGCTGGCTAGATTAAGATCTTCTGGCTTTCTGAGATGGTCTGCATCCTGTTTGCTACATCTGCATCCCTAAGCTCCTTGTGTCACTGTTTCCAACCAAAGTGTATTAACTTTGAACCCTTGGCTCCTGAACTCTACTTTGCTAAGAGGATGCTGGCCTTGACCTTGGATGGAGCCCATTTCCCACCCCCTCCAAGAGCATCTACCTCATGGAAAGATATACAATTTCCTTCCTCTGACAACAGCCCCTCTTGCCAGGTGCTGTGCCTTGGAAACTCAGTCTTATTTAAGAATGAACCATGTCCCATCGTTTGCATGAAGTGAAGTTGACTGAGTATTTGTGCACAGGACATACCAGAGTCAGAGCACTGGAATTATTATTTTATGTCTTTTCTTCTAGCTTAAAAAGGGTATTTTTAAAAACTGATTTCATAATGGACAGAAAGTATTACGTTATTGACCTGAAAATAAAAAAGCAAATGCTTATTAAGGCTTGTTGGCCACTATGTGTTAGAGGACAGGAATTCCTGGTGATGCAATCTGCTTCATCCAGCAGCGGAGTACAGAAAACCTTTTCATACGTGCTAAGCTGCAATAAAGCCTTCGTGCAAACAGTCAGCTCTGACTGTGGATCCCAGCTTCTCTGCTGAGGTTCAGATCCTTCAGGATGGCACTTCCTAATGCTCAATTCTGTATCCAGGCTCTCACATTGATGACATGCAAGCAAATAAAATGGTTTATGAGGAACGATTGCTACCAGATCTTGGTAGTCCTGAGGGTCAATACAAATGTTACTTGAGGAAAAGAATCATCAGCATAAAGATTAATTATCTGTTAAATCATGGTAGTGAGAGTAGCTTTTTCTATTGGGTGATGAATTTTTATGCATAAGTTTGACATATTACACAATTGATATGACACAAGCAGGGAATGCACAGTGAGAGGCCCATAGGAAGGTGACTATAAGAGGATTTGCCTGCATCTGAGAGGTAATTCACTGTCTTGAGCAACTCAACACCAATGCCCACTAAATCTAATTACTCTATATAAAGAAGTAACTGCTGGAATTACCCCTAAGTGTATCGCAACCATGGCCCAGTTATTTAATAAGAAAATCGTAATTCATATGAGTATTTTAACATCTTCAATATAGGCAACTGTTTTGTTTATGAACTGTCAGGTCAATAAAACAACACTACTTACTCCCTTATATTTTAGATAATAAAGAACTGCTTATGGAGTAGCTAAGGTACAGTCAGGAAAACTAAAATTACTCTAGGTACATTAAACAGAAGGAATTTAATAGAAAGACTTGACAGAAATGAGGAGGAAGGAAGCCATAGAGGGGATGGTGAGGCAACCCACATGTTAATAACAGCAAGAAGCAGCTACCACCTTAGCGGGAGGAAATGCTGTTACCAGGGCCAGAATTTGGAAGCTATGGGGTTGGTGAGACCTCCCAGTGGAAGTTTAAATCATACAGGAGACAACCATTGCCAGGGATGTAATCTGAAGCACAGACAGATGGGGAAAATTACCCTGGCTTCTTCCATCTCCCACCCTCCAGTCTTCCAACAGAGCCTCTCTTTGCCTAAATCTACCAGAAACTTAGGGAGAAAAGCAGCCCGAGAAATGCAGTTACCAGAGCAGGACATGGGAATTATTACAAACTGGCAAATGACTAGTACATTGATGTCTCAGAAGACAAGTATATTTGTATATTTGCCCTAGATAATTGACCTATCTCTTCAGTGTACTTTGACTAGTAAATTTTAGCTCCATTTTTATTATTCTGATTTAAGATGAATGAAGGAAAATCACAATCAGGCTGTGATGTGCTTGCCAATAATATGCCCTATGAGATATCTAGTTAGGTCTCTCTGTATCCATATATCTTAATTTTTCCTTCAATGTTCTTTGCTGTCCACCTCCTTCCATTTTTTATTTTAGCCTTGGGATTGGCCACTAAACAGGAATGATGATTTCATTCATTTTATAACCTAATCCCTCAGAGGGTGAGGCAAGCTGGAAGGTGGGGGAGTACATGTTGGTAACTATTTTAGACATGTAAATTTTAAAAGTTCAAATATCTTACCCAATACTAGGGCATGAGTAGGAAAATGCCTGGTTCAATGATATAAACACAGCAAACATCAGCCCAGAATGTAGTAGGAGAAGTGCAAGCAAAAGAAGTATTTTAGAAGCATCCTGCTTTTTAGACCTTAGAAGTTTCTTTGGTCAGAATTGCTGACGTCCGTCACAGTTTCAGCAACCTTTTTACTTGCTGCCATGGGGATCTGTTCTCTGAAATCCAAAATGCAGAATGACTTGATTCTGAAACATACTGAGTGCAATCTGCTTCTAAACCTGCAAGGCAAACCTAAAATAACATGCATGTTTTATTGAACTGATACTGCCATGGTGTCTGTTATTTGCCTGCATTATTCTAAGGAGTTAATAAATACTATCGCATTTTACTTTTTGAAGCTATGGAAGGTACAGACATGAGGACAGGTCATAGGTACTGGTCTATTATATCTCATCATTTTACAAATGAGGAAACTGGATTACAGAGACATTAAGTAACAGTCCTGCAGTTGGTAGAAAAAAGTTAGCAGTTGGTAGAGCCAGGATTTGAACCCAGGTGGTCTGGTTCTAGAGTCTGTGTTCTTAATCAGTAAGCTATGCTATCCTCTTCAGTATGACAGGTTATTCCGACCTATTGCACAATCACTCACAGCTCTACTAGTGAGCATTCCAGCAAACAAGGTGGAAGCTGCCTGCTGGCATGATTTGGCCTCAGAAGTTGCCTAGGGTAACTTGCCCTGTAATCTCTTGGTCAAAGCAGTGATGAGCCCACTCAAAACTAGGAGTGTGGGAAGAGTGTCAAAGCGTCAAAGAATTTGCAGCCATGCTTGAATCCATCACACTGGGCAAAATACCAGAAGCAATAACCACAATATACGATACCCAGAATGGTGTGTTGGTTTTTATTTGCTGAAATGACCTTACGGTTTCCTATATTTGGTCCTCATTTATCTACAGCAGGAAATGGAAGGAAATAGAGTCTTTCCTTTAGGCAGTTCTCTGTTCCAACTGGTATTCTTCTAACGCCTCCCTTAACTCTGACAACCTTCTAAATGGCATCGGACAAGACTTCCACGGACTCAAGTTTCATTGATGTAGTTGTACCCAAACAGAAAATGTTCTGTTGCCTATATTCAAAACACATTGCTAAGCCAATTTGCTCTAAATTCTCCTGAATTTCCTCCCCTGGGAGGATTTTATAACTGCCAAGTTTGAATATTAAATCTTAAGGTACTTTTGAGTAATACTCAGCAGAGAGAAAAGAAAAAAATTATTTTAGTAAGGTGATGTTGGGGGGAGAGAGAGAGAGAGTGTGTGTGTGTTATTCTCAGAGAAAAATGTAGTTTTTCTATTTTAACTTAACTGTAAACTACTGAACTAATTTAGCTCAAATCCTTTGAATACAAGTTCAATTTATGGGTCCAGTGACTATCAAAAAATTTAAGCTGAAAAATAATAGGAAAAAAACTAACTCACCAAAATTCTGTTTTTCATTAAAATTTGAGTTTGTGATGAACGTGGCTGTGTAAAAAATAGCTCTGGTGAACGCCACTGTTAATGTCCTCCATGACATTTCTTTACAATGTGTCCCAAGGGAGCAATTTGATTGGTATAGAGAAAATTTTCAAAAGAAGGTTTCCTTCTGTGTCATGATCTAAGACACGAATCCCACATGCAGACAAACAAATATTGGAGTGATCAGGCTGCTTGGTCTGTTGGGTCTTTATAGCCAAGGCTAATTCTAAATACATGACTGGCTGCAAATTTGTCCTTTCCTCTCCCACCAGTGCAGAAGCAGACAAAAGATGGCTGTTGGAGCACAAGAGTTCACAGTAACATTCGCTGCCACAACCTCTACATGTGCAGACAAAAATGTTAGAGGGGCTAGCACTGATATTATTTTTATTAATTAAGGATGGGTCAACATGAAATCAAATCACCCAATTAGTTCAGCAAGAACTTGAATAAACCCAGTCATCAGGAATATCCTACATGGAATATCTGAATGATAAATGGAGTTGACAGAGTTGACTGAATTAGAAAGCTTTTTTGGCCTTACTAGGGAAACCAAACATTTTAAAGTCTACATGTGCAGTAAAGAAAGCTTAATGTAACTTGGACTCAAGCTTAAACAGCATAAGAAAAGGGTTCAGACCACCACTTCTGGGATTGGCCCACCAAAATGTGAATACCATTTCTTCTCCTTGGAGCTGGACGGCTTTGGATAAATTCTGTTACCACTCTGTGTCTTTTGTTTTTCCTCTATAAAATGGGAGTAAAAAACGTGTCTACTTTACAGTATTGTGAGGAGTACCCAAATGAGTTCATTTTTGCTCAGAGAAATTGGCATGTAGGTGCTCAATAAACTTGCTTATCATGTATGCTGTAATCAGCTTCGGCTATTCGTGACAATTCATCAACATAATTTCTCTAGCTGCCACACATGAGCAGTCCTACCTCCAGTATAATCATCTAGTGGCCTTACGGAAGTCACTTACTGCCAGTGAACTTTGTGGAATTATAAGGCTATTCTCACGTGGTGACCTCTGCTTTTAAATCGAAGTAGCTCAAGCATATGAGATACTGCACAATACATAAATAGCAGATAGGCAGAGTCTGAAGCAAAATGGCAGAGTGAAACATAATAATAACGTTTTAAAAATAAAAATATTTTAAAAAAGAGAGAGAGAGAAAATACCACTAGGGCTCAAGTAAAGAAAGAGCCCACTACTCAAATCAACATCTTTAAAAAGACAGGCAGAGTTAGAGACACCAGAGGCTCTGATGTTTTCCCACCACCTCCCAAATGCACCCCTCACCTCCATTCTACTTCTCTAACAGAGATTAGAGATTGTGAGTGAACGTCTATCTCCAATGGGAAGAAATGTGCCCTTGGAGGGTATGAGGACAATCCAGTGAAGATGTGAGGTATCTTCATTATAAATCCTAACAATGGAAGAGAGATTAGAATATATAATACAAGGAAATGACTTGAAAAAAAGCTATTTGAATTAGCCAATTTATTGACTGCGTTATATAATGTGTTCTAGAACAAATGAATACATGACAACAAACAGATACATCTTACAAAAATTGCCACTTCAAAGATCAAGATAATTTTCTTAGGAATACAAGTAGAAAAAGAAAATTGAGTATAAGATTAAAAGTCAAGCTGGCCACAGACTTATATACAGTAACGTCTACCAGCAGTGGTAATACAGCAACATCTTCAAGTTATTTGGGATGAAGGTGGGTAGGTAAGATGGGGGTTCATGTAAAAATTCTAAACTAAGCCAAGAGGGCACACTTATTTGATGCCAACTGAATTATTTGCAAACATTTAAAAACTATAGCTTTTATTATTACATTACTTAATATTTATAAAGCACTTAGGGCCTGGCATATAGAAAGCATTATGTAACTGTTAGTTAATTCATTTAATAAGAAAAAAAAAAGCCTGAATCTCGTGAAGTCCATAAGCTCTTCTTAATGAAATCTACCTTAACAAAAGAAGCTCTGATAAGACTACAAATGTGTGCACTGAGCCCATTTACATAGAAAATTAAAATTAAATTAATGTGGAACCAGGTATAGTGGCTCACACCTCCCAGCACTTGGGAGGCTGACGCAGGGGAACGCTCGAGCTAGGAGTTTGAGACCATCCTGGGTAACGTGGAGAAATCCTGTGTCTACAAATAATTTTAAAAATTAGCTGGCCACGGTGATGCATGCCTTTAGTCACAGCTACTGAGGTGACTAACCTCCTGAGCACAGGAGTTTGAGGTGAGAGGATCACTTGAGCCCAAGGGGTTGAGGCTGCAGTGAGCTGTAATCCTGCCACTGCATTCCAGCCTGAGCGACAGTGGTTTTTGAAGACTGCTATGTGCCAGGCACTGTTTTAAATGGTATGGATATAACTATGGTCATTCTTTGTTTAATATCATTGGTAGGTTCTTAGAAACTGTGACTGTAAGTCAAATGAGGTACAGCAGGTTCTCTAATAAAATGGTTCTATTTAAAGGCACTTTATTATAATTTTGGTGAGAAGAAAATATTTTTCGTATACCTCTCTTCACTTACGGTTGCAGTTTCCAAGAACCTATTGACATGGTAAGTAAGGAAGGACATTTTACAAACAAGACATGCAAGATCCCTGCTCCCTCGCACTTTATCCTCTAGTAGGAAAAGACTAGCCAATGCAACTAGATAAGATAAAAAGAAATAGATGGACAGGTCAATGAAAGACTCTGAAACATAAGTGGGATAATATAGGACAAATGTCATTTCAAACTAGTAATAATAGATAGATAATTCAATAAATGTGATGGGAAACTGGTGAGCCAAAATAAATTTCAGATGAGTCACAGATTTCAAGATAAATGATTCATCCATTAAAATAGTGTGAGAAAGCACTGATAAATGTATGACCTTGGAGTATGAAAATGCCTTTTAACTTACGGCAGAAAGCACAGAAGTCACAGAGCTAAAGATGAGTACATTTAACTACATCAACATGTAGAATTTCTGTACAAAAAATATGTAATAAGATGATAAGACAGTGAATAGATGGAAAAATATTTATAACACATTTCTGAGACAGGACACATTTCTTTTAGATAAAATTCCTGAAAAATCACTTTTTAAAGTAGATGTGGTAATAGTAATACAATGTTCTATTGTTTGCTTGCTTTTTATGTCAATGAGGAAAAGGCACAGAAACCAGAAAATTTTTAATGGGCAAAGGATTTGATAAAAAACAAACTGAAATATAATGGCTGGTAAGTATAAGTAAGATTTTCAGTCTCATCTATAATACAAAGAAATGCAAATTAAAATAAAATAAAGCAGCATTGTTACCTTATCTTTTTACTAACATTTGATAGTGCCCACAGCTGATATGAATTCCATTAAGGATGGAGTAAATCAGCACATACTTTGGTGCAGTGCAATTCATGTACAATCTTTAAATCTTTTTTCAATGCACATTATCTGACCCAGAAAATCTATTGTTAGAAATGTACCCTCTGGCTATATTAGTAAAATTGTTTATAAATGTATTAATTAAAACATTCTTTTATTTATTTATTTATTTATTTTATTGCATTTTAGGTTTTGGGGCACATGTGAAGAACATGCAAGATTGTTGCATATGTACGCACATGGCAGTGTGATGTGCTGCCTTCCTCCCCATCACCTATATCTGGCATTTCTCCCCATGCTATCTCTCCCCAACTCCCCATCCCCTGATGTCCCTTCCCTATTTCCCCCCTACTGACCCCGTATGTGATGCTCCCCTCCCTGTGTCCATGTGATCTCAATGTTCAACACCCACCTATGAGTGAGAACATGTGGTGTTTGATTTTCTGTTCCTGTGTCAGTTTGCTGAGAATGTTGGTTTCCAGATTCATCCATGTCCCTACAAAGGACACGAACTCATCGTTTTTGATGGCTGCATATTATTCCATGGTGTATATGTGCCACATTTTCCCTGTCCAGTCTATCATCGATAGGCATTTGGGTTGGTTCCTATTAAAACATTCTTATAAGAGCAAAAAGAAAAAAAAACTGAAAATAGCTAAATGTCCATCAGGAGAAGAAGTTAAACAAATTATGGAGTCTTGCTGTATTGCCAGGCTAGAGTGCAGTGGCACAATCCCGGCTCACTGCAACCTCTGCCTCCTGGGTTCAAGCGATGCCCCTGCCTCAGCCTCCCAAGTAGCTGGGACTACAAGCACGCACCACCATGCCTGCTTAATTTTTTGTATTTTAGTAGAGACAGGGTTTCACCATGTTGGCCAGGATGGTCTCATCTCCTGACCTCATGATCTTCCCACCTCACCCTCCCAAAGTGCTGGGATTACAGGGACAAGCCACCGTGCCCAGTCAAGATGTATTTATTTTTAAAATCCATACATCTGTGTATGTGCCTTGACTCTTGTGTTTAAATATGCATGTTAGCCCTGTTTATCTTTAGGAAAAAAATCTTTTATTAGTATTTATTATTTTATTTTAATTTTATATATTTTGGCACTTTTAACATTTGTGTATATTATTATTTCGTAAGTTAACGGGGGTCATCTGGGTAAGAGAACCATGGGTCATTATATTTTGCTTTCTTTACTTTTCTCTATTAAAAATACTTTGGCTAACTATGGTTACTCACACCTGTAATCCCAGAACTTTGGGAAGCTGAGGCAGGAGGATTGTTTGAGCCTAGGTTCAAGGCTGCAGTGAGCTATGATCATGCCACTGCATTCCAGCCTGGACAACCAAGTGAGACCTTGTTATTAAAAAAATACTTTAAAATGTTACTTAAAATATAATATGATGTCATCATTGTTTAATTGTCAATAGTTAAAAAAAGTTCTCTTACATTAAAATGAGAGAGAATTCCCAAAAATATTCAGCTCTTTTATAAACTGGGAGTAACGTATTTGGTTTACTATGAGAGAAACGTCTTAGGGGGCTAAAGAAGACTAGCATTTGCCATTGGGGGCAGCGTCCAGTTGCACTCTCCTCCTTCCCTGATGGCAGCCTGGCCCACATAGTAAGTCAGTGGCCTTCTTCCCCTAGATTTCCTTCTCCAACTCTGAACCTGCTTCTTCCAAAGCAAGACCTTTCAAGTTGATTAAAAACAGAAATGCCAGCAAGTATTTTCTCCCATTATACAGGTTGCCTTTTCATTTTGTTGAACCTTTGTTTTTTTCCTGAGCAGAAGCTTAGTGGTTTGATGTAGTTCTACTTATTTTTGCTTTTGTTGCCTATGTTTTCAGTGTCATATCAAAAAAATTATTGCCAAGACCAATGTCAATGAGCTTCCCCCCAACCTCGTGTTTTTCTCTAGGAGTTTCATGGTTTTAGACCTTACATTTAAGTCCTAATCTTATGGTATATGGTATAAGACAAGGATCCAATTTTATTCTTTCACATGTGTATGTTTAGTTTTCCTATTACCATTTATTGAAGATAATTTCCTTTCCCCATTGTTTGTTCTTGGTGCCCTTGTCAAAGATCTATTAACTATATGAGTGTGGATTTATTTCTGTACACTTTGTTCTGTTCCATTGGTCTATGTGTCTGGTTTTTTTTCAGTACCATATTGTTTTGATTACTAGAGCTTTGTAATATAGTTTGAAATAAGAGCATGAGATGCCTCCAGCTGTGTTCTTTTTTTCTCAAAATTGCTTTGGCTATCCAGGTTTTTTATTGTTCCATATGAATGTCAAGATTGTTTTTTCTATTTCTCTGAAAAATAACATTGGAATTTTGGTAGATTACATTGAATATGTATGTGGTTTGGGGTAGCATAAACCTTTTATCAATATTAATTCTTCCAATCCATAAACACAGGATAGCTTTACATTTATTTATGTCTCTCTAAATTTCTTTCATTGATGTTTTATAAAGTGTACATATCTTTCACATCCTTGGTTAAATTTCATGCAGCATTATTCACAACAGCCAAGATATGGAAACAAACTAAACATCCATCCAGGGATAAACAGGTAAAGAAATTATGGCACATATATACAATGAAATATTACTCAGCCTGGAGACAACAGATGCTGGAGAGGATGTGGAGAAAGGAACACTTTTACACTGTTGGTGGGAGTGTAAATTAGTACAACCATTGTGGAAGACAGTGTGGTGATTGCTCAAGGACTTAGAAATAGAAATTCCATTTGACCCAGCAATCCCATTACTGGGTATATATCCAAAGGATTATAAATCGTTCTGCTATAAGGACGCATGCACACGAATGTTCATTGCAGCACAGTTTACAATAGCAAAGACCTGGAACCAACCCAAATGCCCATCGATGATAGACTGGACAGGGAAAATGTGGCACATATATACCATGGAATATTATGCAGCCATCAAAAACGATGAGTTCGTGTCCTTTGTAGCAACATGGATAAACCTGGAAACCATCATTCTCAGCAAACTGACACAAGAACAGAAAATCAAACACCACATGTTCTCACTTAGGGTGGGTGTTGGACAATGAGAACACATGGACACTGGGAGGGGAGTACTACACACTACTGTCTGTTGGGGGAAAATAGAGGAGGGACAGTGGGGGGTGGGGAATTGGGGAGAGATAGCAAGGGGGGAAATGCCAGATATAGGTGATGGGGAGGAAGACAGCAAATCACACTGCCACGTGTGTACCTATGCAACAATCTTGCATGTTCTTCACATGTACCCCAAAACCTAAAATGCAATTTAAAAAAAGAAATATTACTCAGCCTTTAGAAAGAAGATCATGTCACTTGTGACAACATGGATGAAACTGAAGGATGTTATGCTAAGTGAAATAAGCTAGATACAGAAAGACATACTCTGTATGATCTCACTTATATATGGAACCCAAAAAAGTTAAACTCATAAAAGCAGAGAGCAGAGTGATGGTTGCCAGGGACTGAGGGGTTGGAGCAGGTAATAGGGAGATGTTGGTCCAAGGGTCCAAACTTTCAGGTATAAGATGAACAAGTTCTGGGGATCTCATGTACAGCAGGAGTGGTGATGGGCATGTTAATTCATGTAATAGTGGTAATCACTACACAATGTATATGTATATCAGATCATCATGATGTATACTTTAAATATATTTAAACTTTGTCAATTAAATACTAAATATATAAAATATAAATAAATATTCTTAAAAGAAGAAAAATCCCAGACATTCCTGGAGGCTTTCCTATGAGGTAGACTTGGTGGGGAGAAAACAGTGCTCAGAAAACAGTGTGAACAGCACAGGAAGAGAGGCAACTCAGGATACAATTCTGAAAGTGTTCATTAAAGCACACTCGATGTAATAATTCATTAGTCATTCATTTTATGGTTAGTCCACCTCACTCAGGTTATTTCAAAAAGAGGTAGAAAGACAACTGGAGAAAAACTGTTCACATTCAGTTCCTTCTCTGGCTTAATTGAAGCTAGAAGCCAAGTCAGCAAAACAGGGGAATTGCCCAGTTCTGATTTTTAATGACTGATTGATATGGTTTGACTCTGTGTCCTGACCCAAATTGTAAACCCCACATGTCGAGAGGGACAGCTGGTGGGAGATGATCGGATCATGGTGGCAGTTTTACCCACGCTGTTCTTGTGCTAATAAGTGAGTTCTCACAATATATGGTTCTTTGATAAATGTGTGGTGCTTCCCCTCCACGACCCCTCCTGCTGCCTTGTGAAGAAGGTGCTTGCTTCTCCTTTACCTTCCACCATGACTCCTGAGGCCTCTCCAGCCGTGCAGATCTGTGAGTCAATTAAACCTCCTTTATAAATTACCTAGTCTCAGGTAGTTCTTTATAGCAGTGTGAGAACAGACTAATAAACTGATGTAGGACATGAAACAAGAGTCAACTGATCTAAAAGTTGCTTCCTATCTAAAAGTGCTTCATTTATTTCTTGCTGAAGATGAAAAAGGACATGTGCGAATTCAATTCAGACATCTCCTAGTAGCTCCATAATGAAAATCACTTAAAATATATGAGCGAGGTGAATTTTGGCAAATACATCTATACTGAAAATAGCCAAATAGTTCTAGTTCTGCCTGATTCTATGTTTGGTACTTTGGGACACTCTGTTAGCTCTCTAACTAAAGTGAAGAAAATCCAAATTCACTCTGAACTAGATAAGAACAGTCAAATAATCAGATATCTTTTCTCCCTATAACACCTTTATGAGAAATGAACAAATAGCTAGATCTGATTTCTCTTTTTCTCTTCCTCCCTCACTCCCTCTTTCCCTCCCTCTCTCCCTCCTTCCTTCCTTG